ATCCCTACCTGGGGGTATGCAAAGCAAGTCGTCATGTCCGCTGAAGCTGGACTGCCGAGCTTGACAGATCTGCAGCGATGGTAGGAGGACCAGGTTGGAGCGGTCGCATGCCTCCGGTTGTTATCAGGGCCGAAGGAATGTGAGTGTCGTGTGTCACAGTGCTTCAACCCCAGTAAAGTGTGGCGACCATCGCTGTTGCGGGGGATTGGGACCCCTGTTTGCTTCTTGCATGCGAACTGATAAGTTGTCATTATCGATCAGGCCCGCGATTATGTCATGGCAGCCAGCGCATTCACGCATCTTGTTATCTGTCATCTTCCTCCATATTAAATCCTCATCGGTCTAGGTATGCCAGTGGGATTGACCGCTCTGTGAGAATTTCCTATCGTCCATTTAGTCCGATTTTCTTGTTCTGCGATTGTGCCGTCCGATAGCGTCTTTCCATCCGATCCCGCCAAACAGGAACCTTAGCAGAGATTTGATCCCGACGTCTAGAAGAGCCGGCTAGGCTTACAAGATACGTCATCATGAGCAACCAGGGCGACAAGGTTAGAACAAGGCTCCCATTGCCATTCCCCAGAGGACAGAATCATGCATGCTCAAAAGTAGGCGGTCAATCCAAATGGTGGGGGTGGTGGTGGGGCGAAGAGGAAGTGGTTGGGTCTGGGGAGGGTGGGCAGCTTGCGCAACCGTGGCGGGGCGTAGAGCGCCTGCAGATGGTTTTGGAAGCGGGCAACACGTGCTGGGATGTGATGCGCGTTGGCACGTGTTTGTGTTTGAGGGTGTCTCCTTGACACACATGATGATGATGGCTTGCGATGAGTTTGGCTAGATGACTTTTAGCTTATGGCTGGATTGCTTTGGTGTTTGGGGTTTGTTTAGGTGAGCCTAGGGGTCCGGGGATGGCCCACCATCATCCGCGGGTGGCTGTCCTTTGCGTTAAAAATGGAAGACATTTATACCTGGCATCTATTTGCTCTCGGTTCGGTTGTGGCTTCTGGTTGTATTAAATGGCCACAGCTCTGCAAAACCACCTCCACAACCACGGAGACCAACTCCGGGCGGTTCGCGTGGTTCGGGCGGCATCAAACATCAAAGGCAGCGCGGAAGTAAGGGGCCAACACCCGGAGGCCCGGGCCAGGTCCGGAAGGAGAGAGCAAACAATGTCGGCCGGTAGGTGTGCCTCAGGCCTGGAAACCAGAATGCCGCCGAGATTCCCGTTGCGTATTCTACTCTTCCTCCTTGCCCCCATCACGCACCGCGGACAGCAAACATCAGCTCGCCGCCGACAATGATGCGCTGATCCCACGTTAGTCTTGTCCCCCTTGTGATTGATCACGGTGTTATGCACCGCAGTGGTGCCCTTGGTGGCCTGATGCAGCACGGTGGTGAGGTCGAACTATGTAGGTACTAATCGGCGAATGTCATGGGGGCCTCGATTATCTCAGACTCTCTGGGGTTCAAGCAGTTGAATGAAGTTTGCGGCGTAAGGGTACTGAACACGGCATCTGACAACGCCTAGGTTAGTATTGTGCTTGAGGCTTAACACCGCACCGCTGGGGGGAAATTGGCTGGTTGTTCCATCACAAGGGAGTTGTTCCCGTCTTTTGTTCCATTTGTACGGCTACGAAGCCTCCGAATTCCAGTAGCCAGCAATTCAGGCGCCTAGCCCCGTCTCGCATGGCATCAACGTACAGCCTATGGGTCGACCTGACAATCCAAGTGGCCGTATGTACAATTCTGCGTTGTCGATATTCCTCTGGGTATTGTCCTTCTCCCTCTCCTTCGCCGCTATAATGATGTCGTGCTCTTCGCCCGTCGGAAGGGGTGGGCTTCGGTGTTGAGGACAAACTCGTCCAAGCTGATGAGGTCGGGGGGCGAAAAGATCAAGTAATAATACTTGAGCGTTTCGGCGAGCCAAAAGCTCTGTGCATTCATTATTAGCAAAGCTCCATCACAGTGCGGGTTCACCGGAAGGCTTGGCTTACCTCCATGGAATCCGTCTTGGTGGTCTTCCCCTCGACCGTCACGTCGGCAATGGCCGAGTTCGCAAGCGGCGTCTCGGTCGCCCTCATGACCGACTCGAACATGCGCCAGGCCAGGTCCCGGAAGTCCTCCTTCCCAGTCATCCTATACAGCAGAAAGATGCTCTCGATGGCCTCCGGCCGGAGGATGTACCGCGGATCATGGGCACTCTTGAAGCCCTTGGGCATCCTCTTGCCCCCTTCGCTCTGCCACCGCTCCTCGTCCCAGGCGCAAGGACCATCGATGGAATCGCAGGAAACGACGTTGAATATCTCGGGCATTAACCCCGTTGGGAACGCGTTGTATGCCCACGCGCAGCCACGCGCCAGCCGTTCGCCGATGTCGACGTGATCCGGGATATCGAAGAGTTTCCCGCCGAGGCCGAACATGCCACCAGCAAAACAAGACAGATGCTGGCCTTCGGCGATGTGATCGATGCGGTCCGGGTGCACATAGGCGTCGCCCGCGAACAGTACATCTTGTCCCTCGTCGTCGTCGCTGAGTGGGACCATGGGCCGGAATAGCATATGTTGCTTGGAAGTCTTCATCGCCGCGCGGTACATCTTCTCGTAGGCCGGTACCCGCCCACTGAGCAAGGCCGACATCTTGGGGAGGTACTCGTACAGCGAGTCCGCAAGCGCACCGAGCGTAAAGCCGATCTCAGTGTCGACGGCTTGTTCGCGGAAGTTGATCAGCTTCGGCCAAATGCCGGGCAGCTTGGACTCGCTCTGGGACCGCTCGAGGAAGTCACTGATGCGGGCGACGGCATCGTAGAACTTGGGGTCCCCCGTCAAGAGCGACAGACGGGTGAATTCGAGAGAGAGGGAACAGGGACTCGCGGAAGGGTCGTTGGTGCCAGCGGTCTGTCGCCCCTCCTTGGCATCCTGGAAGTTGAACCAGAAGCCGGGCATACGATTCGGAGTGTCGAAGGCCATGTACAGCATGTTGCCCAGCTCCTTGGCCTTCTCCAGCAGCGCCGGCTCGCCGCTCAGATCGTAGGCGCTGAGCAAGCCGGCGAGATGGCGGATGGTGGTCTCGAAGAGGTTTGCCGCAGTGTCGCTTGTGTTGGCCCCAGTCCAGCTGGGCGGCGGCAGCCGCAGCAGCGCGGAAGTCGTCCGTGAGGCCCATAATCCAGAGCGTGTCGAGCGAGTCCACCAGTGTTGCTGCCCAGCCCCCGAAGGTTGTCTTACCCCCGCCACTCACGGGCGCCAGCTCATCCCGCAACCACGCCTGCTTCTTGTAACTCTCCCAGCTCTTGACGAAGGCAGCGCGGACTGTCTGTTGTCGGCGCTTCGTTGTCGCGTCGTGTACGTAATTCGGGAATGCATGCTGGACGGGCTGGAGCGGTTGCGACGCGCCGGTGGGCAACGGTCGGATCGAAGAGACGGGATGTCGTTGGACCACGGTGGTCCAGTCGAAGCTGCTTGGTTTGAAGCGGATTTCGGGACGGCTATTTGCGACTAGCGGGTTCTCGGAATCGGCGGTCCCTAGGTACGGTCGAGTGGGTTGAAGGAAGAGCATGATAGTCATGAAGACGACAGCGACAACGATGACCCGACCAAGGCGGCGGTCGAGGGCCATGGCGCGGCGCAACCTTGCGGAAAGGAAGCAAAACGGCCACCCTCTGCTATATGCCATGTCTTCCGGTCAAACTTAGAGCGGAAGACGATATCGGCATATACAACGGCGTCGCAGTTTTTGCGCGGTGCGGGCTGAACCATTGCGACCGGGTTCAGACCGGTGATATGCAACGTCGGGTCGGGTTGGGTCGTGAGAGACAGGAAGCGGGAGACGGGAGTTGGGAGTGGGAGTTGGGAGAACGAGCCAACCCCAGGTTCGTCAATGCTGAACGAGGTTGTTCCAGGTTCCAGCACTTACTTTCGGTAGATACCTTACTGGGCAAATCGAGAGGCCAGATGCGACAAAGTTGGGGCTGCAAAGGGTGAAACCCCGCCCCGCCCTTACAGCGGCGGCAGTGCGGCACCGACCGACCGGAGAGCTTGATTGAAACTCCCGGCTCTCCCGACCGACCCACCCTGACCCCTGACCTGACCCCTCGCGCCCCTGAAAGCAGTGTCGTGCCTGTCTCACACCCACCAGTCCCACGTGGGCTGAAGGAAAGGGTTCAGATTGAGGTGGATTCCAATTTCCATGTCCATCCATGGAGATTATCGACACTGGCCGGATCTGCCGAAATGCAAGTTGCGAGAAACCACTGGCTGTAGTTATTATTTAGGGTTGTATCTTTTGACTTCTTGTCAACATTGGGCCAACCCTTTCGCCAAACGCTGCCCGCCTCTCAGGGTGCTTGGCGCCTTTGGTGCAAATAACACATCGTTACCTGGGCTGAGTTACGGGTGGTGGGGTAGAGAAAGCTTGTTCCAAGACAGTCCTTAACCGACAGCGTCGAAATTACAAGCCACCACATACGAATACAACAACTGCAATGCCTTCCGCATACTTACGTTGCGAATATGAATACACCACATGCCAACGGATAAAAAAGATTCGAGCCTTGGCACGATAATTCTCTCTCCCAACGGCCTGGGCCGCCGTGATTGCTCCAGTCCAGACAGAGTGCTGGACCAGAAACAATGTAACCATGGATAGCAGCTGTGCCACAGGCCCCCTGCCTGCAATGCGACAGGGGATCGCGCCATGTTCCATATGAGGCGCATCCTCGCTCTAACCCCTACCAGGCGCTTCGTCTCCTCATCGCTCCTCTCGTTGACCCTCTGCCCTCCAAATGGCTGTCTACACATGCAGGTTCTGATGTTGACTCTCTTCATCGCCCTCTGGGCGGGGTCTGCTCTTGGGGCGACCTGCGATACGGTTGCGCCGATGGCCCTCCCCATCACAGACGTGGTCGTCGACCCCCGTATTCCCGGCTCGCTAATGAGAGGCGTTCCCGCCAAGATTGGCACACCTCCTCAAGACATTGTCGTGATGCCGTGGCCGTAAGCAGCGACCAGTTTCGCTTCGTCCATGACCTCCTTACTGACGGACCTACCCATTCAGGGACCTGAACAACACATACATCTACGATGAACAAGCATTCTGCGACGAGACGGTCATTTTCAGCGATACAATATGCGCAGTGCGACGAGGAGCTCTCTTTCGGGAGGCCGATTCCACAAGCTTCTCAAAATCATCAGACCTCGTTGCTGCAGGGGGCGCCTCCCGAGAACTGGGGAACGTCCGCGGAGCCGAGCTCGGTGTGGCAAAGCTGTTGTCAAGCAGCCTCGGGGCAACAGAACGCTTTACCATCGCCCCAGCAAACACCACGACCTTACCGATCGGCATCCCGCGCATGGGATGGGACCACAGCTACACCATCCTCCACGCGCTCGGCCTCGGCGCCAACTCGACCTACCTCAACTCCCTCGTCCAAGCGGGCCAGATTCCGTCTCGTGTTTGGTCCATATTCTGGGGCCGCATGTGGAACAACAACGAGTCCAACAATCTGGACGGGTCGCTCGTACTGGGCGGGTACGACCAGGAGAAGGTTATCGGCAAGAACGTTACTCAGCGGCTCGACTACAGCGAACAGACCGGGTGTTGGACGGGCATGAAGGTGACCGTCTCCGACGTGCTAGTCAACTTCCGCAACGGCAGCGACTTCTCCATCATGCCCCGGGACTCGGCCGTGCAGTGCTGCATCGTGCCGCAGCGCCAGCTCCTGTGGGAGGGCCCATCCGACATTGTCGGGACATTCATTGATGCGACGCAGATGAACAACACGGGCTTATCGTTCGGGTTGCACTGGGGTGCGCAACAGTTTGACGCCTCGGATCCCAAACTGTAAGGTCACCACATCACCCGCCCCCACCAGTCTCCAACCACTACCTAGGTACCTACCTAACTAACACAACCTCTCTTGACACACAGCTTCGACGGCGACGCCACCTTTGTCCTCTCCAGCGGCCTGTCGGTGCGGATCCCCAACTCGCAGTTGATGCCGCCCGCCGTGTCGGTCGACCGCAACGGCTCGCGCATCATCGACCGCTCCAAGCGGGAGCTGCTCCTCAGCGGCGTCGGCGACAACCCCACCACGCTGGGCCGCTACTTCTTCACCGCCGCCTACCTCATGGTCGACCACGACGCCGAGTCCTTCACCATGTGGCAAGCCAACCCTTCGGCCCGGACCAGCCTCGTGCCCGTGGTCGGCAAGTCGGCGGGTAACGGGGGCGGTTGTGAGGAGGGTGGAGGTGGGGGCAGCGGGGGAGATGGTGGGACGGAAGGCGGTGAAGAGGGTGCTGGTGAGGGAAATGGCGTCGATGGAGGAGGGGGCGGCGCGAATGCTAGCACGGATGAGAAGGCGGCTTCTCCCGTCAACACTGGTGCAATTGCTGGCGGGGTTGTCGGGGGTGTCGCTGCGCTGATTGCGCTCGCCGCCCTGGTGTTCTTTTTGTTGCGGAGGAGAAAGAAGCGGGATCCGACGAGCCCACTGCCGCTACCGGAGATGGCTTCTCCCGGGGGGCACACCGGGGGTGCGGATGGGGTGTATTACTACAAGACAAGCCGGTCTGGTTTGCAGGAGGCGCCAGGTGCCGAACTCGCGCCGGGGGAGCTGCACGGAGTGTCGACATCTAGCTACGGCGGAGCGACATGGGCCATAACGGCGAGCGGGATGTCACCAGAGTCCAGGGTAACATACGAGATGGATGGCGGGGGGTTGCCGCCGGATTACTCAACTCAGGGACACCCAAGGCTTCACTTGCACTAATGTTGACCGCTGGACATATGACACTGGAAGGCTTATGGGTACCTAGTTAGTTTAACGAGTTTCGGACCGAGCAGACATTGACAGGGTATCGCAATACAAGTTCCTTTCAGGTAAACAAGCTTTCGTCTGAGGTAGATACCAACCATGTATTACATTTTCAGAGTCACATCCTTTCAACAAAAACATAACAGCAAATTCTAGCGCGCTTCTATGGCCACTCGTTAGCGCTTCCGCAACCACTCCTTAGACGTAATGACGAAAAATAGTTTTTCGACAAGTTAACTATCTTACTTTCACTGGGCCAATTATTTTAAGGCAGGCCCTCCAAGAGAAAGGAGGCGCAGAAAAGAAACTAATAACTCAGATGTTTCAGCAAGACAAAAGAGCGAACAATGATCACTGCAGGCAGCCCCTATTTTCCACCCACAACCAGCGGGGGGCTGGTTTGGCCTAGGTGGTATGCTCCAGACCATCATGAGACATCGTGCAGCGGATTGGGGTGGCAAAACAGTGCACACCAAGCTTATACCAGCTCCACAAACAGGTTACTCACCGAACAAGCCACGAAAACAACCAAGAAGGCAAGTATATTGCGAAGATGAGGCACTAATGTTCCAGGTTGTTGCTCACACAGTACCTACTTGCTCTACCTTGCTTACCATCCCCGAGAGAGGCCGCGAGAGACCGCCCACGGTCTGGAGTATTTAAACTGCTCGAGTTCAACTCTCCCATCAGACATCACACTGGAGCCCAGAGCTATTCGCAGACGGCTCTTGTCCAACATTAGCTAAAGCCTTCTCAGCCACCTTCAAACACGTCAGCCGGGCTATCATCCACACCAAAGGGTACTACCCCTGCCGCGCCAGACGTGTCCAACTCGGCGATAGCGGAAGGTACCTACACTGCTCTCCGCTCGACCGGCCACCTCGCCGCGGAGGTCACCTACACTACTCCCAACTCGACCGTAGCAGTTACTGCCGTTCTGCCAGCCCCCCGGTCAGTCTTCACTGGCAAGGTCCGCAAGATCATCACCGCCGTCAACAGCAGGGATCCCCTTGACGCTAGGATGGCCTCCGTTTCGCCAGAATGGCTCAACGCCGTTGACAGGGCCCACAATGTTGTCGCCGACGCCCAAAAGAAAGGCCATCTTGATGCTAAGATGAAGGACATGGCGGATCGGATTCTCCGCGTAGTGAAAGGGCCGGCCGCCGATGCCGAGCCCCTGAATCTAGCTGTGGATTCGTTTGAGGGGATGCATCAGTCGAAGTGCAACTACGACGGCGTGATGTTCATGCTCCGTATGAGTGATTGGCCATCCGAAATCATCAAAACAATGAGGTCGAAAGAGCCGAAAGTGGCAAAGGCTCAACTCAACGAACAAGCAAAACAACTTCGGGGCAAGGGGGTCTCGGATAGCACTATTAAGGCGGAGCGCGAGGCTTCCAAGGACTGGTCGGTTATCCGGAGGGAAAGGGCCGGAAGCTCGTACTCTGTGGTCAAAGGGAACATCGACAAGGTTGTGGAGTAGATAAAAGGCGGCGAGGTCGATGGGGAGGAACCGAAGACTCCAGCTCGCGATCGGTTCAATCGTATCAGCACCGAGTTCGGGATGGAATTCTGGCTTGCGTTAAAATCACTGAAGCTGACCAGCTACCGGAACGCTGTGGTTCACAACTCCCCACCCGACCCACTGAAATATCTCAAGGATGATGAAACGATCGATTGGATCGCGATAAATCAGATCTGCGAGACCCAAAAGCGCATGGTGAGAGCGGATCAGGATGAAGGGTTGGTAGATGAGGACCAAGTAAACCTCTTCGTATCAATGATTGATGGATGGTTTGCGCTGTACATTGAGAAGTGGAGCAACAACGGCCAGATTCCTTACCTGACAGCCTATGGCATCGCACAGGAGAAGGCTGCGAGTGATAAAAAGGAGAACGAGAGAACGAAAACAGAGAAAAAGGACAAGGAGCCTTGGAGCATTTACGTGACTGACAAATGGGATTACTTATCTGGGGTCTCAAGTCTCAACCGACTAGCCCAAGTGTCGAAACCAGACATCGCCAGCGGGTGGTAAAAAGAGGAGAGCTGGGGCTGGCGGTTGGGTGTATTGTACTGTTCAGTTTGCTACTGGGAGCCAAGACAACCTGAATGGTGGAGGGCAGATGGCAGATTGTAGTTGAGTGTTTGTTTGTATCCTGTAGCGGTGAGGTGAAATACAATGGAGCCCGCAAACAAGTGGGGTCCGTTGGGCTTGTTGGTGCCCTGAGTGGGTATCTGCATACACATACAATACCTTGACGCGGTCATGGACTCATGGCCCCATTCACTTGGACCCCCCGGCGCACCTTACTAAGTAAATCTGCAGCCATTGCCATGAAACTGGTGCCGGTCCAGTGTAGGTCGAACCCTTGCCCTTCGTCGTAAAGAGTAATCGACGAACCACAAATTTTTCGTAAAAGTAAAGGCCATCAGCGGCTGCCCGGATGACACACTCGTCCCCCGGGTTATCCCAATCCCAATCCCCACTGGTAAGGTCGTAGTCGAGGGCAATGTGGACCGCATCATTTTCTACGCTCTTCCTATCATCTTCTAGAGACTCCGTATAACTCGTCATGGGGAATCCCTTTACATCATCCCAATCGAACCTTTGCAGGTCGTAAGGTTGAAGGAAGAAGAGATCCGTCGTTGGATACGTCAAGCAACGCTGCCGCTTCCCGTCTAACAAGAAACACGAAGCATGCAATGCACCAGGTACATACTCTCCGACACTCTCTTGGCATCATCTTCTGTCCGGCTATTTTGAACCGTCGCTCCATCGCCGCTCTCGACTCCGTACAGACGGTCCAGAGCCCATAATCCATCAAGTAGGTTGAGCGGTTGCCTGCCGTCCATGACAATTGTTCCTCTTCGTCATCATCGTATGAAGGAGAAATTCGAGGAGCCGCTACACCATGAGGGTACCCCCTGTTGCAGCGGAGCTCGTACTGGGAGAGTAGTGACGATTTAGTATCGTCAACCTCCCCGTAGATGGTGAAGATGTGTACCCCCGGCAGCCTAGGGCGAATCGCGAGATCCCAGATGTCATCTCGAACCTGTTTTGGCAGAGTAGGAAAGTATTTCAAAGAGTTTCGATGCCATGATGGGTGTGATGTAGTCGTAGGTTCTCAAGAAGATATGAGGAGGCACGGGGAATTCGGAAGACGGTCCGAAAGTCCACAGAAAAGAACCGCGTTAATATTTTCCACCAGGTCAAGGCTGGCCCGGCTCTGAGTTTCCCTGCCCTGGAATGTTGTGAGAGCCTGGAATGTTGGGAGACGTAAGATCCCTCCAGGTCTTCCTGGGGGTTTGTTGCGGGAGAGTGAGGCTGTGGGGCGATGCTAGGACCGGCTTAGACTGAGGAGAAGAGTAACTTACATCCCAAGGCGTTTGGAGAGCGAGAAAGTACCCCTACATGTCCCATGTCAACCTCACTCGCTTGTCGCAAGGCTTGGCTTGCTCTGGGCTTAGGCTAAGGATCACAGCAAGACAAGTTTCGATGCATAGCGAGCGCAAACGACGGTTCGTAACTTGGTTCACTATTCGGGTATTTGGTTATATGACAACTACGAGGAGGTTGTAGGTACGGATTCACAGTTTGTGCCCACTGCTCGAACCCATTGGGTAACATCTAGAGTGGGTTGGGGGCATGGCGCCGTTGGAAGGTTACAACACTGTCCGAAGTGAAACGGTATGATGTATTCCGCCACCAGGGCATTCCTTGCTAGATGGCGCCGGAGGCCGTCAAGCAGAAGGAGTACGGTCCCAAGTTGGACATCTGGTCGCTCGGTGTGTGAGATTCGCAATTATGGGGTCTTGGTGTAACTTATCACAGGTCGAGAAAATTTGCCTACCTAATCGTACCTACGGAACTAATCTGTCTATATTGGTCGAGTTTGTCATCGGTGATACAAGTTGGGCGGTCCTGATTTCTGGCATTGGTCTCCTACAGCCGGGATACGTCAACACTGCTACCTCGTAAAGGGGTTAGGAGCACTGCCGCGTTAAGAACCGAACCATCGTGGTCTTTGTATTCTAGGTTACGAATCCCCGGTCCGTCAGTAACATACCGGGAGTCATAACCACCCGATTCGTGGGTGGTTTCTCTCACTTGTCTCAAGTCCCGCCAACTCGGTAGCACTGAGGTTCCCTTCATGATATAATACTTGATGAACCACACGTTCTTCGCCCCCGAAGGTTCTCTAGAAACTTAGCTGACCACACATTGACCCGCCTCACCTGCCTCCCACCAAACATAACCCACACGATACCGAAAGCGCCTCCGATTAGTGGAAAATGGTGAAACCGGCATGCGTACCCAGTCGGCCGTTTTGGGGTCAAAGAAGGTCTGCATCAAGCAACTTAGCGGCTCGCCATCCCCAACAACGACCTGCGGCAGCTCAGGGATCAGGGGTATTCTCTTGATCGCTAACACCGCGTTTTTTTTGTCTTTCTTAGAGCATAATCTCCCATTCGGCTTCTTTAAACCATCGCTCTATCATCTACTCTCTGTAAACGGCCCGTATTCCGGCATCCATCAAGTGTGGGTATTTGTTACCTCATCTTCGTCCGGTTCGTCGGAGTCGTCTAAGGTTTCTAGTAAAATAGAAGAGCTGCCAGCACGTAACCTCGCAACCTTCGGCAGCCTAGCGCGTACTCGGACAGCAATCTCCTATCAGCTTTGGCTAACGTCGTAGACGGCAATGAACTGTACGTCCGGCCAGACGAGGCAGATTTCAGTGGAAGAGATGGAACGTGCTTGCCATGATGATGTGAGAAGGGAAAGCCCGGGAAGAGGTAGGGAAAGTGGACTAAGAACCCAAAACGGTCTACAGAGCGGCATTTATACACGCAAACGGATTTAGGGGTTGCGCATGCGTTTTCTGATTGGGACGTTAACTCGTTTCTTTCATCCGGGTTTCCATTGTTTGCAGTTGATATTCTGCGCTGGGTGGCCAACTTGCCATGGGGGCCCGCCAAGACCAAGTTCCTCTAGCAACGGGCGTGGTTGTTTACTTCCCCTGAGAAGAACCCTGAGAAGAAAAAAAAGTGGCGAGAGTGCAACCATCAGAGAACAAGAAGCCCTGCTTCATCACGGGAACCAACAAATACACCTGGCCCACCCGCACATGGGAAGAGGCCTCAAATCTCACGCGTCGTGAGCCTCATCGGTATATAGCTCGGCGAGAGTTGGGCCTGGGCCTGCGGGAGCCGCGGTACGGTTGAGTTTCTCAACGAAATACAGCGTCTGAATATGACGCCACGAAATACCAGTAGCAATTGGGGCAGTTGGGTTTGCGCCCCCAAAACTACGGAAAATGAGTAATGCAGTTTTCCGGGCCCCAGCAATGCCCCAATTATCGATGGGGCCTGAGGCCAATACGACTCCCTATTCGTAACTATGGTGCCCGGTTGTCATGAACGTCCGAGCTGCACCTGCCGGAGGTTTAGAACCTGAAAATAGACCTACGGCTGACCCTTCCAAACGAGGTGGTGGCAGAGGCCGGGGACGAGGAAGAGCCAGAGGCAAACAACACAACAGAAACCCACACGTCAGAGGAGTGAAAGGCTAAGAAGACCAAGAAGGACAGGCGCCAAAAAGAAGCAAGAAAGCAGCGCCGGCTGGGACAAGCAAGTTCTACGCGAGCTCGCATTCCTATTCACTACAATGACGTAGACGTTAACACTATCAACGACGCGAAGGATGCAACTTTAGTCAATGCGCCGCCTCAAGACGACTCCCCGTCGGCGAGAGAAGACGCGAGGAACCCCGGCCAGACTACATAAAGGAAGGCCAAGGAACGACGTCGAAAGGAGCATCGGCGATTGCGAGAACGGGTAAAGAGAAGATACGGCAATAGGAAGAAGTAAGATTGTAGCCTGGGAAGAACAGCAATAACAACAATCAAGACGAGGAGCGTAGAAGGGTGGAACAGAACAAATTGTGCGAGGAACACTGGCGGATATGGCAAGAGAAAAGCCGGAGAAGCCCGGTTAGCCGACGAGACTCGACGGGTAGAAACTCACCGCAGGTGCGAAGCCGCCCAGACTGTTAAACGATGTCGAAGAAGAAAGCTCCGCAAGAAAGGGCTAACCAAAGCTAGAGAAGGTCGCCGGCGCTGGCTCGGGCACCGTAAGAGCGTCCGGGGGTAGGAACAAACATATAAACTCCCTAGGCGCGCGTTTTACCATCTAGGAAAGTTGCTACAGAAGTGGAACCAGCTTTACAGATGGCCGAAGACGCGTCTCGTCGCGTCGCGGCAACGTATGCTCGTCTGAACGAGGTTCGTCAAATTGCCTATGCGCTTCAGTTCCCTCAAGTACCTCAGTACTATTTACCCATGTGTGTGTGTGACCGGCCTATGTGTCTCCGCACGGAAACATTGGTAAAAATGTAATGTAATGTGCCCATGACCCAGCCAACCGACGAGTATGGTGTATAGAATCCGGAATCGCTTTATAGCCAGGTTCCTCGCAATTTCGCCCGCTCGCGCGCTCGGTCGTAACGATTGATCGTGGTGCCTTTCCGTGGGTCTGGGTTCGTGGGCTTGTGGGGTATTGTTCGTCGCGAGGCCAAAATCTTCGGTTTATACCATCAGTCTTTCGGTTAGTCGAGCAATCTTCATCGCGGCTCAGGGGCCGGTACGGGTGCGGGGTCGGAGGTGGAGGGGTGGTTCGGCGGCGTTTTGTGAGGAGACGATGTCGATCAAAGTTGAGGAGACCGCGATGCAGAAAGTGTCGGGCGTTATGTGAAGCAATTATTAGAAGTAGCAAGAGGTGAGGGCCGGGGAGGCGGGTTCTCTGAGCGTGAAGACGGTGTTTGCTTTGAATGTGACCTCGCTTCCAGTTGATGCGGGGTAGTTGAGCCCGTGGCCCGGAAGCTTGGGCTTTCGCAGCACAGCCCCTGCACCTGCCCCCCATCCACCAACCTCGGCCACTTCACATCCAGGCTCCCAGAATTCGAATCCGGCTAGGGACTAACAACCAACCCCTTATTTGTTTGTGATGGGCGAACTTGGACAAATAGTAACCCTACGCACAGTATCGTATGCAGCATGAGTGGCCAATGTCAAGTCAGTCTCTTGCAGGCGAGAAACGCATGCACGAAAGTGAGGTGGGGGGACCCATGTCCCGCGCAGCCCGTCGTCCGATGATGCAGACTTCGCTAGCTCCTCAATAAACCAGGCATGGCGTCAAGAGTTGGGGGGATGCTGCAGCTAGCCAAGAAAGTGTTGATGCAGTAGCGCTTTCTATCACCCCACGAGCCAGCCCAGTTGGCATCGCTTCTTGACGATCGTCGCCGTTGAACCAGACCCCCGCCGCCAACCCCTTGCTGCTGGGCTCAGTGGAGCTGATAGCCCCAACCAATACCATCTCACCTTGCGGCAAGCAGTCGGAGCCGCAAAGGGCAGCGCCAAACCGAGCTTGGCCAGTGGAAGCGCAAAGTGAGCAACGAGACGACGGGGAAACGGGGGAGAGCTTCCCCGTTCCTCGACGACCCCACCGCAATTTTCGTCGATGGATACGCCGGGCAAGGCCAGGCCAGGCCATGCCGAATGCCAGCGGGCGGAGTCCCATCGTTCTTTAACGACAAGACGCACACAGCCAACTCCTCCTTCAAGACGCTAGTAGCTATTATCTACAAGCTACGTACATAGATACGAAGTACGAATACGCCCCCGCGCTTCCTTGCGACCCCCCGAACTCCAAGTGTACCCAAAGGCCGACAAAACCTTCGACCAGAGGAACGAAAAGAAAGGCATTCGGAAGCCCAAGTCTGCTTTTGTCTGGCTCGGTTTCTTTTATTAATTTATCTTGGTTTTTTTTTTAACTACCTCTTTTCTTCGTTCTCTTTTCTTTAATTTCTTACTCCCTTCCCAGTCTAGCTTTTTTGGGCCAGAGGGTGCCGACATACTCTCTCGCTCCCTTGGCCTCCCCGCAGAGAGGTCGAGGTCGAATAAACTCATCGCGCCACCCCGTCCGGATTGGAGGAGCGCGGAGTTGCGCCGCCAAGGACATCAGGGGCCTCTCCTCTTTTCTCCATTCAGGTGCAGGCACATAGACAAACACACACAATCCACTCGGCCTCTCTCTTGACTCGCAATCGTCGCAAGGGGCCCGCCACACCAAGCCATGTGCCGACTCGTCGTCTTCAAAGGAACTTGCCCGCATTGCTCCGAGACCTTCACATGGGAAGAGCTTAACCAAGAGCTCAGTTGCCTCGAAGCCAAGAACAACGGCACATTCGGCATGTGCAAGGAAGGGGCGCTGGCGGACGAGAAGCCGCACGACCAAGAGTGCGACGCATGTGCGGCCGAGCTGGAGGCAGACGAAGGCTACGACGGCGGTATGGACGACGCACTCGAGGCGCTCGAGTTCGCCGGCGCGGGCTGGGGCGGGAGCAAGAAAGAAGCCGCTGACGAGGATCAAGCGAGCGGCAGGCACAAGAACAAGAAGCAGCGCGTGTCATGAGGCGCGTTGCTACTCGATCCGAGCGCGGTTTACTCTCGCCTGCCTATCGTCGCTCGCTTGCGACGCCGAGAGCATCCACACGCGATACCCACAACCCGCACATTAACAACACACGTCATCGGGCGAATAGTAGTCCAGGGATCGGGGACATCGTCGCGGCAGCCACACAACCACACAAATCACCACGCAGAGAAAGAAATACAGAGATCCACCGACCGATGATTTCTGGGTCATTACGCTTGCGACTAGAGGAGGGGGTAGGGATACTGTTCGACGGTATTTACTGACCGGGACGTCGGTCGTTTCACGAGGTCACGACGTAGATGAGGAATGAGGTCCATGACAACGCTCAAGCCAGGGATGGCGGCGATGGCTCGGGGGCCTATGCCGGGCGCCGGGCGCCGGGCGCCAATGGGGGCGGGAACTGGGGGAAGGGGTGGCCACGTAGGAAAAGTGCCAGGAGATGGACGAGTTGAGCAAACCATGTACCACTTTATATAATGTATTCTACCGATTTATAGTGGCAGATCCCCCAGCACCACCATCCACCTAGATATCTAGCCTTATATCCAACCCTAATCCAACCTACTCGACCCCCTCCCACGTCTCCCTCACCACGCGCCAATACCGGCCCGCATCCACCCGCACATGGGCGACATGCTCCCCACCCTCAAACCGCTCCCTCCTCACGGCCCCAAACCCCCCACGCGCCGCCGCCTCGGCATGGTCCTCCACATCCCGCCAGTCCACCAGCCGATCCGCGGGGCCGTACACGTACGTGCGGCGCACCTCGGCGCGGCGGGCGCCAACGTCGTTGAGCGCGCGCGCGAGCGCCGCCAGGGGGCCCGTCCGGCCGCGCCCCAGCAGCGCGTGGCGCACCCAGTAGAACGCACACAGCGCGTGCAGGAGGGGTGCCGCCAGCCACCGCGCGGGGCCCCGCGCCGGCAGGCCCGCCGCGAAGGCCCGGTACCCGGCCCCGTACCGGAACCGCCCCGGGGACGAGTCCAGCACGAGCGTGTACGGCGGGAGCGTGGCGGGGCTCGCGGGGGTGCGGACGCGCGGGGGTGGGGGGCTGTTGTGGGTGGCGAGGCCGAGCGCCGTGCGGAGGTGGAGGAGGGTGGCGGCGCCGCCGTTGGACCAGGCGTGGAGGAGCAGTTCGGGTTGTGCGTTGGTGGGTTTGTTGTTGTTATCGTGTCGGTCGGGGGTTCCGATGTCGGGGAAGATGGCGCGAACAAAGGGGACGGCGGCAGCAAACGCGCGAGGATTGCCACTGGGGAGGAGGAAGTGTCGCGGCTCGGAACGCAAGAGCAGGATAGGAACGGTTGGGTACAGCGCTTGGTACTGGACGAGGTACTTGGCGATGTGCGGGTCGCGCGCCCCCATCCACGTCGCGAGGATGATCAGTTTTGGTACTGGTTTGGGGGGCGATGCAGCGTCGGTGGCTGAGGAGGGTGTTGCCGGCGCAGGTGCCTCAGGCCGGTAGATGTAAACGCATTCTGAAAGTTTGGTCATACAGCCGAGCGGACTCGCCGCTGGCGTCTTCATTACGTTGGACGCCATTCCCTGTTTAAATTGATCTTGAAGCTGGCACTCAAACTCCAGTTCATTCCTACAAGTGCGATCACCTCCGTTTTGTATGTTTACAGGAGCGCTGCGCCGTGGCTGCGCCTTGGCTGGGTGAGATTTTGAGAATACAGGTCCAGCCGAGAAACTCCGTTTCTGGACTGGGTTCAGGAATCACGTAACACCGCGGCCAGGGTCCCCCCCCCCCCGTGCACTAACACGGGGGGGGAGGGGGGGGGGTACTCGACCCGACAACGGCTCGAACCGAGGCACTTCCTAATTGGGTTCCATCAGTCAAGTTGTATCAGACACAACGCCTCTGTCCATGTCCCAACAAATTGCGTTCAACGGAATCACAATATTCTTCCGGATACACAGGGAGCGGCACCGGATTACGTCAACCGTCCGCCGGCAGGTCTTTCAACCCGACTCCCATCCAAATCACTATGCAAGAAACCAAGGGTACGTAACAAACACATGGCGGTCCACATCACAGACAAAGGACCAGAAACCTGCAAATTCTTCCTAAGCTACGCCATTTTGTTCCTAGTATACACAGGACCTGGCGGTCACCTCCAAGTTATTCCAGGTCAGACCGTAAATCGGCCACAGTGAAGACGCCAAGGGCAACCAGTGGTAAGCAGAAAGGCATGACGGAGACATTTCGACGTCCAGTGAATGAATCAGGATCATGTCCGGGCAATCAGCATCCCGGCCTTCTGCGGCCAAGGAAGGTAATCCCAAGAAGAATTAGTGACGATCCTGTGGGACAGTTTCATAGCCTCGTCCCATACCGGGCGTAGAGCATGCTAGTCACCAGATGCAGCAAGAATCCAGTGACACAGCTGGGCTACGGCCGCATCTTCGTAACGGTGGCATCATCTCAAGAGGTTCGTTGTAAAGAGGTCCCTGATCATGGCGGTGCAAGACGAGTACTGCAGGACGACGCAGCGCGAGGCAGGCCGCGACGAGGGTTGATTGAGCCAGGTGGTCAAGTGCATCAAAGCAAGACACGGCCCACCTTCCGTTGGTCAGTACCTCTATAAAGATGAGGGACAATCCAATCGCAGCATCGTAGGCAGAGCAAGCAGCCAATTGCAGATTGCGTTCAAGCTGTTGCAAGGGACCGCATTCGCAAATGTCGTCGATGGAAAATGCCGGGTGCAAACCGCTAAACGCGGAGGTCGACCATGAGGATGCAGGATACTCAAGTTTCGGGATATGTGCCGCAAACCCGCCAAAGAGTGCCCGGGGGAAGACGAAAAAGAAAAGAAGAAAAAAGCGAGTATCAGCGCGCGTACTGGTACAGTCATGTAACAAGTCCGTTCATCCCGAAGGGTGGAACAGGCCGGACGGAGTTCAGATATGCCATGCCCTGGTATCAAGTAAGGTGCCGTCATGCAGTGATCAAGGCGCAAGGTCAGGGCCAGCAATCTCGAGGGGTGGTGACGGCATAGTCAGGATGCATCAGACGCATCAAGGAGTTGAATGGGCGAGTCAACAGCAAGCGCATCAGTGGGTCGGGGGTTATGGCGACTTTACGAGGTCCCAGGGGCCTGCGAAGGGCCTCCCTGGCTCTGGCCCTGGGTAGCAAGCTGGGATTGCCACCAGAGAGCAATGTAATTTTCGTAACCACCATCTATCAGCATGTGTTAGTCAATTAACACCGAACGAAGGCGGAGGAGCCGGCTAAGGGTGTACTCACACATGGCATACGGGTCAGGCTGCCCGCCGCTCCCGGCCGCAGCCGCGGGAGCCGCGCCGCCGGGTGCCGCATTCATGGGGGCGCTGCTGGGGTTAGAAGATTGGCCATAATTGGGGCTGTCATAATCACGGGGCGGGCCACGACCACGTCCGCCGCCGCCGGCAGACTTCTGCCTCTGTAACTTCGTCAGCACACACATGTCCCTTAGAATACCTTGCAGGTCCGGCGGACATACCGCTGCGTCAACTTTGTCCTCGATGGCACGCTTCGCCTGGGCAATGGCATCGCGGCTGCCGACAAGGCCGATCTCCCGCTCCACCTCGCCGGGTCCAGACGATTGTGAAACATTGATCTTGCACCCGGTCATGTTTTGCATCTCCCGGATCGTTTCTCCGCCTTTGCCGATGATCATGCCAACCGCATCGGAGGGAACGTAGATGGAGTCGTTGACCTTGTCGGGCGCGCCGCCACCGCCACCGCCATAGCTGTCAGCCCGGCCGCCGCGCGCAGCCCCCGCATTGTTCCCATTCCTGCTGTCGCTATCCACAATCTCGAGAATCAGTTCCTTGGCATGCCGAGCAGCAGCTCGGAGCGCCGATTACGTTGACCGGGCGGAGGCCGTTGACGCTCTTGTTCTCGCTAACGATGTAATGTGGCAACCGCTGCGTTCTTGGAGATCGCGGATCGTCTCCCCGCCGCGCCCGATGATCAGGCCCACGGTCCTATCGGGGACCATGATTTGCAGGCTGTCCTCGCCCTCCTTGGGAACCGGGGGAGGGGCGGGAGCGCGGCGACCACCTTCACGGCCGCCACGGTCACCGCCGCTTTGGGGGTTGCCGCTGCGCATGCCGCTATCCTGAATTATATGGTTTATCATCTCCTTGGCCTCCTCGCGCTGCGGACGAGGGCCGGTGATTCTGCAGAGTCGGGATTTGGTCGTTCTGGCCAGTCGGCGGGATGAACTGGACCCGGCAGCGACTCTCGCTTTCAACACGACGCAGGTTCTCGCCTTGACGGCCAATAATCAATCCCAACCAAGCTCGCCTCGATCGTGATGGTTTCGACGTTGTCTTCCCTTGCCACGCAACGGCGACCGGTCCCGACCACCACCGTGGCCACCACGCGGAGAGAAGCCTTGGCGGCCGCGACCAGGCGAGTAGGATCGGTCGCGTGCGTAACCGCGATCTTGGCCGCCGTGTTCAGCGCGCCTCTCGTCGCGGTAAGGGTTCAGGTTGTCCCGGAAAGCATCCCGCCCACGCGGGCTCTTGGATCTCGAGCGCTGGTAGTGCCTCGAGTCCTGGCGAGGGTCCGGGTATGGTGCATTCTGACGATCATAGGGGGTAACACCCTTCTCGGTTGCGTATGCCTTTGCCTTTGCGATCGCGTCGGCGAGCTGCACCGTGCCCGAGTTGACAGGGCGAATTGCGCTTAGATCGATGCTGCCGCTCGAGGCCGGCTGCGGGTAGGGGTAAGAGGGCGGCGGATGGTAAGAAGTGGGTTGCTGCTGGTATGGGTTCTGCCCGGGCGGTGCATATCCGGAAGGCATAGCCGGCGCAGGGGCCGGAACACCAGTGTGGTTCTGGGTAGGCGTCGAGGTGGCCGGCCGCTGTGTCGCATCTGAGGCCACGCAAGTCAGTTCATTCGCCTGTGAAAAGTTGTAAGATTCACCAATCCTCACCTCCTAGCATCTTGAGAATGGAGTTAATATCGGGTGTTGAGTTCGCCATTGTGTGTCTCTGTTTGTAGGCTTTAACTCTCTCGGGTTTCGGCGTGGTCTTTCAATGATGATATCGAGATCCAGCACGGTGGGAGTTGTCAGGAGCCGTCTGATTCTAGTTGGCTAGGAAAGCGGCGCAAATCTTGTTCCGCAATAGTCCGTTTAACACCTAACATGAGGCGTCAGTAGCGAGTCGCATCAAGGCCTGGTTGAATCGCGTGGTGTTCTAAACACAGCCGCGCACAAAGAAGCACACAGAGGAGCACACGCATTCAGAAGCGCGACCGAAAAGCAGGCCGGGGTCGATGGAGTACCAACCTGTGCTCAAAGCAGCGCACAATACTGCGGATGATAGTCGCTGTCTAAAGAAATGCACCGGTCGAAAATAACCTGCGCAGAGTAAAACGTAGCAACAGTCTGCAAGAGGTGGGTTTTTGCTCGGAAATGGAGAGTGAATTGCCAGCCCTCGTGGATTTCGTAACAAGTTCGTGGATGGAGCAGAGAGCGGGTTCAGAAATGCTAGTTACTTGGGTGGAACGCCACACACATGAACTCCGCGCTGTTCAGCTGAGTGATGCGGCGGTGGCTCGTGCGCGTTGTTCACGTGATGTCTAAACCTTGTCCGGTTCTCCAGCCCATTCCGGCCTGAGACGACCCAGGCAAGAGGTAAATGGTGCAGCCAGAAAGAGGGAAGAAGTAGGGGGCTTGTACGAGTTAAAGGCAAAACGATTTGATACGGATGTAGTTAGCGTGCTAAGGCCCTATAGGCCCAGTGCCTCCGGGCGAAATAAATTCCATCCATCCGGCCTGAGACGACGACAAAATCCAGAGATGCACCCATTCCCAAGCCATTTGTGGGTCAGCACAAGACAAAAGTGTACAGAAGACAAGCACAGGACCCATGGCTTCTCAAGCTTGTCTACCTGTGCCTGTCCTTATAAACCACACAATACACTTAGAAGAGAAGGCTTACACAAAAACTACCGCTCTGTTTACAGGGCAAATGCATTTGCAACTTGAGTACCTTAAAGATGGTGAGAAACAAATGCAGACTTGTCGCTTCTCCGGCACAGCTCAACAGATTGCCTGCTCCCCCGGCCTCCCCATACAATCGCCTTTCTTAGAGTCTTAAGATACGTACTCCGTCCAGACGTAAGCTATAGGTAATATCACATGTCAAGGGCCGTCTTACCAGAAGCAATTGCAATATCAGTATTAGCCAAGCCACAAGACTTCACAACTCACTTGAGCCACTTCCTACCGAATAACCTAAAAAGCTAGGCCGAAGAGCTTCCATACCTGCAAGTTGTGGGTAACTCACAGAGCTCTGCATCAACTTAAAGTGTCACTGAATGCCGCCAGCCATCCGCCACATAAAGACGTAGTTTTCTGGGAGAGCGGCAAAAAAAGGGGGGGTTAGACTCCTCGGGCCCCCCTTTGTACATTGGGGTCTCGGTTTTTTGGGCAGCACTCGCACGATGCCGAGTTTCTAGGACGGACCATCATGGTGACACCAGGTATAAAATGTCCATCTGACTCACATACAACATGGAACAGTTCGGTTCCAGCCTGCTTTAGGTTCACAAGCTTCGATCAAACGAATCGTTCGGGGTCTAGCTTCGCGCTACCCGAACGTTGCGCGGCTGTCGCAGGGCAACTCGGATCTAAGACAATAACCGGGTACACAAACGTACTCATACCTAGTACAGCATCCAGTCGAGAAACCTGCCAAATTTTTGGTGACACACGGTGCTGCATTGGCACGGCAGCCATCGGGCCCTTGCACACATTCGTGTACTTCTTGTCTCACAAGTTGACTGTCCCTAGCACGTTTGGTCACATCTATATTAGAAGTTTGTGGACAAAAGTACCTCATATGCTTCCATTGCTGGCTAGCCAAACTGCGAGGATCAACCTTTACATGCTGTTGGCGGTCAAGGCGGTGTGCCACAACATCATGGACATCAAGAACGATGCAGGTAGTATGATTCGAGCACCCAGCAGGCTCTGGTGGAGGATATAAGTCGCCATACTCGATCCGCTTAAAGTTTGCGCGAGTACCAGTTTCAAGTCGTGGCACATATTGTACAGCTCCCAGCCCCGTTAAACACTATATTTGCCATCAGCAAGGGTCCAGGGGTGACGTTGAACCGGGTGATCCGCGATCAGCCCGTTCCTTCCCGGCAGAAGTGAATCAGAAACCGGTTGCAACAAAGTGAAATAGGAATGGTTTAGAAGTTGAGAAGGAACCAAAAACGCACATATTGCAAGAGGGTGCTCTGTAAGGCGATAAAGCGTGATCTAAATAGAGTTGGCTAAGGTATCCTACTGATCTCGGTGAGTCTACATCAAGATGGGATTGCACCATAACGCAAAGTTCCGTCTCGTTTTCCTTATTTACACGTACTTTCCCAGTGCGACGCAGCGTCTCTGTGTAAGTTGACAAGTTCCTGCTGGTTTCCGGTGAGAACTTAAGAGGGCCCGGCAAAAGAAACCAGGTACCTTTCGTCGCCGCCTAAGGCAAGGTTTTAAGAAGGGCTCCTTCCCTCCGGTTTGTGAATGGCTACCACTGTGACGTTGAACTGGGCAGGCACCTTCCCCTCCCCTCGCACCATTTGTTAAAATTTCCCGCTTTTCTCCCTGTTGATTAAGGGCCAATTCCATCCTCCCACAATTCTGAGCTTCGTCACTCTTCTTCAATTCTCCGACCGTTCCCTCTCGTTATCTTTGTTCAACGGCCACAATCCGGACAAGGTCTACAATCCCAACTTCAACCACCCTCATCCAATATATTCCGAGCTCGATTCCTCCGCTCATTGACTCAAAAATGGTCACGGCTGTGAGGGTTCTATGCGGCGCCCTTGCCGTGGCGTCTGCGGTGGCCGGTATGGCCACCCAGCGTTATGCCGAAGCCTTCAAAGATGCTCCGCCCGGCATTAGCTATAGGGTTGCCAAGGGCATCCATCCATGGTCGTCCTCCACCAAGATCACCAAGGCAAGCCGGCACGTCCAGCAGCTGCGTTCGGTTCACGCGGGCCGCAACACCAAGATCAACCCTAGGTCAGCTGCTGCGATCCTCGGTGCCCATCAGCGCCTCGTTGGAGGGGTCGGGTACGAGAACATCACCACTACCTCTGCGTACGGCACGCAGTACGCCGTCGATTCCCTGTTCAACGGACATCGCATGTCGCTTATTATCGACACTGGAAGTTCCGACACATGGGCCGTCCAGAAGAACTTCCATTGTATTGACTACTCGGGCGAGTTTCTGCCCCAGGAGATTTGCGGCTTTGGTGAGACGTACCCCGAGACTTTTCAGTACGGCTTGACCAACCCGGAGTCGCACATGTACATTCAGTACGGCGACGGCGAGATTGTCACTGGCCCCATGGGATTCTCCGACGTCACGGTCGGCGGCATCACGGTCAAGCAGCAACAAGTGTGCCTGGCCAATACCACGTATTGGTACGGTAACAACCAAACAAGCGGCTTGATGGGTCTTGCATTCCCATCCCTCACCAATGCTTACCTCGGCATTGGTCAGGGCCACGACCTCGGGAGCCAGGTGCAGTATTCGCCTCTCTTTACCAGCATGGTGAACCAAGGACTCGTCGATCCTGTTTTCAGCATCGCCATTGACCGCAATGCATCCAGCGGCATGCTCGCCTTCGGCGGAGTTGCCCCGGCCAGTGGTTTGGACACGACCCGGACCGCCGTTCTGGACATGATCATCGTGAGTGCTTTCCTCAACCGTGCGTGGACTAAACTGACGCTGGCATGGTAATAGACGAGCGTGATCGCCATCCCTCAGACCGCCTACCAATACTCCTTCTACACCATCATCCCGGATGGTTGGTATTACGACCAGACCACCAACACCAAGAAGATCCCATACATCGTTGACAGCGGCACAACGCTCAACTATCTCCCGTCGGGTATGTGCTTTGCCGGCTCTTTGCTTGTCGGTGAATGGAGCTAACTGTCCAACTTAGGTCTTGCGGATGCCATCAACGCATCTTTTGACCCACCTGCCGTTTACCTGTGGATGTACGGTGCTTACTTCACTTCGTGTGATGCTAGCATACCTCAGGTCGCTGTGCTGCTCGATGGCACCAAGTTCAACATCAGTCCCGTGGATCTTCTTTACCGCACCTTGGTGGATCCTTTGACCGGACTGTGCATGACTGCCATTGCGGATGGAGGCTCAGGCCCATACATCCTTGGCGATGCGTTCATGCAGAACGCTCTGGTCGTCTTTGACGTTGGCCAGGCTAAGATGCGCTTCATTCCTCGCCAACACTACTAACCGTGTGGCGCTTGGAGGAAAGCTCGCTTCAATCTTGCTAAGTCCATGTTCGTTATAGCCACCATTTACCATTAAGAGGTTGCGGTTCGGTGATCATTTGTCAATGTGGACGTGTGTTCGGTAGCTCTAGGGGATAAGAGGACGTACTAGCTCAACATTTAGAGTACAATACGATGGAATCGCCCTGGGGCGCTGGGGGGCTTCTCTTGGTGGCCGTGGTCGCTGTTGTCCATTGCTAAATTTGACTTCGGTGGCTTGCTAAAAGACTGGCAGTGTTTTGAAACACGCCTTTGGCGTGCTGAAAAAACCCAACGCAGGACTGTTATTTTGATAGCTGTCTCCTTCGCGAGCGATGGCTCATCACGATAAAGCTAACCCCGGAAACCCTCTGGAACATGTGATCGTAGAGAGGTTGGCCGAGGTTTCGAGCTCAGTATCGACCAATGCTTGTTCGGGTACTGCGCACAGCATTATGTGGGACAAAGCTTGAAAGATTTGGATCTCAGAATTAAGGGGCGAGGTGAATGACGAGCAGACAAAATTATCCACCCAGCCAGCACCGCCGCTCCTAGGGTATGCAAACTTCTTTCTTTCGACGCCACAACTCCGTGATAACAAGACCCGTGTGAAACCGAAACCTGCTGTCCATCATCCTTTTATCCATCCATGACGAGCCTACCTCCGCTGGTGGCCGCTTTGCCTTGGCTGACTACCATATGCCCTCCTGGCCTGGGGCTTCTTGTCCCGGCTCATACCCGCTCCCAGGGTGATGTCAACTCTGGGCGGCGTGGAGAAACCGAAGCCCTGTAAACAAAGTTAGCCCTGAGTTCCTTGCCAGCACTGAGGAGCGAGGGAGCGCCTTACCTTGGCCACCTTTACCATGTCGAGCTTCTGGACATCAAAAACGCTGCGGAGGCTGTGGGAGGCATATGCGTGGAGGTAAGACCGGTAGCCGTCCTTGGCACTCTGGTTGAGATAGTAGTTGCTCCCAATGAGCTTCTCCAGCTGGGACTGCACGTTGAGGATCTTGTTCTTGGGAAAATCGTACTCGACGACGGGGACCTTGGCGGCCTTGAGGTGGGCCAAGAAGCCAAGTTCACACGGCTGCAGGAACAACAGCGACCGCCCTTTGGTGTTGTTGCCCCGAGCGGTCCGACCTACCCGGTGGATGTAATCACGGGGGTCATCCGGGGGATCGAATTGAACGATCCAGTCAACCTGGGGAATATCGAGGCCGCGGGCGGCAACGTCGGTGCAGATTAGAGTACCCTGCTTGGCGTTGCAGAACTCAAAGAAGGTGTTGGTCCGTTTTTGCTGCTTCTGCTTTCCGTGTAAGTCGAGGACCTGCAGATCAATGTACTGGAGGAGTTCGCTGTAGTATTTGACAGAGTTGCAGGACGAAAGGAAGACGATGATCTTCTTCTTCGCCATCTTCTTGAGAAACGAGAAGAGCAAAAGGAAGCGCTTGTCTGCATCGACAATGACGTATCCCTGGTCGAGCCCTTCAACTGTGCTGAACTGCTTCTCCTCGTCGACATTGATGTATAGCGGCCCGGGACGGAGTGAGATTCTTGCAAGGTCTTCAACCTTGGTTGTTTGTGTGGCTGAGAAGAGCATGGTTTGACGATTTTCCTTGGGGAGGATTTTGACGATATGGCGCATTTCGTCCTCGAAGCCAACTTCCAAAATCCGGTCGGCCTCGTCGATGATCAGGGACTTCAGATTCTTAAAGACGAAGCTGCCGCGGCGGAGATCTATCAGGAAGAAACTGTCAGCACCTGTCGGTAGAGGGGATGGACAACCACGAGACTCACGATCGAGCAGCCTGCCAGGGGTGGCAATTAGGAGGTTCACGCCCTTTCCTAATTTATCTTCCTCCGCTCTAATGTTGGCACCTCCGATAACCACCCCGTCTAACGAACAAGTCAGTGAGAATCCAAGTCGAGAGGGCGCAAATCATAACTCACAAGTCTGAGAGTGATTCTTCATCAGCTCGCGCGCAACGCCGAAGATCTGCAGCGCCAGCTCACGTGTGGGAGTGACAACGATAACACCGGTGCCATTGCGCGGTTTGAAGCGGAGGGAGTTGAGCATTTCGATGGCGGGAATGAGGAACGCAAGCGTCTTTCCAGATCCGGTCTTGGCCGCCCCCAGCACATCCTTGCCCGCGAGGAGAGGTGGGATGCCTCGCCGTTGGATCTCGGTCATTTTTGTGAATCCCATTTCGTTAATTGACATCATGGTCTTGTCGGAGAGATTGAGTTCAGAGAACGCCTGGGCGTCCGTCGACACCGAGGGGCCAAGCAAGGACCCGTCGCCTTTCTGGATGGCGCTGTCCAATCCCGCTGGCTCATCCTGTCTCTCAAAAGCGTTCGCATTTTCCTCGGCCTCCTGGTCTTCCGAGTTGTCTTGCGGCGGCCCTGGAACTTCCACTTCGGGTTCCTGGTTCTCGATCTCGGGGTCGCTGCTGTTGTCGCGCTCGGCGTCGCTGTCTTCCGGGGTCGGGGCCCTCTTTAGTTTCTTGGCCTTTGAAGAAGAAGCGAGAGCGCGCTCGGGCTTGGAGCCCTTGCTATCCTTGAATTTCCTCTTTTTGCTGAGATCGGAAGCCATCTTGGTGTTTGTGTAGGATAGTCTGGTTGGAGCGCTGTGTGTTTTCCACCGGATTTTTTTTCCAGCGCTGGGCTTATCGGGCGACTGATAGTGGGGAACGCGCCGGCTTGCCCCCGTCTTGGCAAGTGGGCCTCAAAATTGAAGAAGACGGCAGGGACGGCCAAATGTTTTGCCAGCTTCCGGGGTGCTGGGAGAATAACAGGTAGTTAGTTAGTTAAATCTACCTAACTATTACATAAACCTCCCGTGCCGTCAGAGTTGCCTTGGCGCGCATCCACCAACCTGGTTCAGAAGCTGGGGTCAATCAATTGCTCACCCCCAAGTGGCATCTCCAGTCGGAAACCAAAATCCCCGAGCCACTCCGACGTCGCTGACCCGGGCGCCTCGACACAGTTGCATCAGCTGCAGCGAATTCATTAATTGGACATCGTTGAAAGCCACGCGGGTTGCACCGCTCGTGCCCCAAGCCCTTCGCCAAACGCGGGAACTCCTACCTTCTCGAATCGGTACCGTCGAAGCGTCAACCCCAGAGTTCGTGCCACGCCCACCATGTCATCGTGGTGAGGAAGCCTCGCGGGGGTCCTTCAAACCCGGGCCCGGACTCTAAATCAATTTCCTGCCGTCCCCGTCGCCTCCGCCAAGTGGTCAGCCCAGTTGCTTTTTGGCAGTTCCTTCGTGCTCAACACGGTGGTTCCCCTCTCTCAAGGTGGTATCAAGGCAACGCATCAGCCCTCCCCTCTTGCCGAATGAGCTATCCGCCTCGACCCCCAGAGCTGGGTTCGGCTCCGCGTTCGCTTCTTACCGGGCCTGGGACAGATGCCCGACTGCTGATCCCTCTGGTGGTGCACCGGGAACCACCCACGCCCACTGCATTGTTTCCATCGACGATTCCGGTTCATTTTAACTGTGATTTAAAAATAGCCGCCCGTCAATTTGACTGCGTTGTCGTGCCTTGTCGAAATATCGCCTTCGCAAGCTCCCGTGATTGAAGGCATGATCGGTATCTCGGTTTGGTGATATGATGATTGGACGACGGCTAACTTATGGTACTCGAGCACCGGATAGTGTCCGTGAGTGAGGCGAGTCTCTCTCTCAGGTCCTTGACACACAGTATCCGAACCACGAGGTTGTGCTTGGGGCGGTGGTGTGTCCGAAGGGGATCTTTCGATGTGCCGACTACCCCTGTTTGCATCCCATCCTATCCCTCCCCCCCAAGTCTTGGACCGGACAACCCGGCATGACTTGTTCCCTTCGCTTTGCATTCTGGTGGTATCCTTCTGAGGCACAGACACGGCCTAGCCCGAGCCATGTAGCATCGCCGTCGTCACAAGTTGCTGTTCATTGGTGAGGTTGGAATGACAAGGCAGCATGACTCTGCACGCCAGGGTCGTGGGACGAGGTCGTCCAAGCTGACCTTCATTTATTTCTTGATCAATTCCGAAGGCCTGGCTCAGCCGGCAATCTCGACGTCACCGCCGCCGGCGAAAGGATGGGGCAGAGCCAAAGGCCCTTGCGCGTGGCAATCTATGGCTGTGGCCTGACTGGACATCTGGATGGAGGTCAGAGAAAGAAGGTGTGGGAGAGAGCGACAAGGAAAGGCATATAAAGGACGCCCACCTCCTCTCCTGAATCTCGACGGATCAACAGAAGCGGCCACAAGCCTCCCGGTTCTACACACAGTCAGCCCAACATCCTGTTCAGATTCATCCTTAGCCCCTTCAACCGAAACAACTCACTATGAAGTTCGTCCTCGCCCTCACTTCTCTCTTGGGAGCCGCCATGGCCTTTGAGTCCTCCGGCTTTAAGGAACGTTCGGCACGTTTGCGCAGCCGGGCTCCAAGGCCCGAGAAGTTCGCAAGCGTGGAGGTGCGAACTTTGGAGTACAGAACCTCGATTGGCTCCCCTACCGAACAACGGTCCAAAGCCCTGCTCACGAGGGTGCCGGGCCTCCAACGGCGCGCCGTCCCCCAAGCGAGCGATTTTTTCGAGTGCACAAACCCTGTAAGGGCGTTTGCCTTTCCCACGTCTTTCATAAGACATCCGTTCCTGGCCCAGGCTAATATTGGCTAGAAACCGAGCCCCGCCACTGCTGATTGCAAGGTTATTGTCAACCAAATCCTATCGACTGACGACGAATTTATCATTGCGGCCAACTCGTGTCTCGTCTACTCCTTTGGGACGTGTCAGGCCTTCTTCTGCTCCCTCTGCGAGACTCTGAGCACTACAACCACCTTTATTGGTGGCCAACTCGATACGGTCGATGCATTGTGCGTCGAGAATGGCCAAGCCGGCACGATTGTGGGCGAAGATGCGCCGCAGTGGGACGCCGGCTTCACCTACGCGGGACAGGGCTTGCCAACGTTTGATGTGTGCTGAGCATATGCTTTCGAGGATGTCCCCCGCCGGGTGAGTTCGTAGGCGTGCTGGCTCTTTGTTTGATCTCTGAAAGGTGTCGATTTCTTTGGATCGTGTTTGGATTGCATGGAACGCAACGGCCGCGCGATGATCAGGCATATAGTTTTGAAGTTGAATCAGAAACCGGGATGGTAGTTGTTACATTGCATCATAAGAGCCTCACCTTCGCGTACCTTCAGGCTGATATCGCCATATTAATCTTTATCACCATCATTATCAGGGGCTATCCGCATCCGAGAGCACCCGCCCCACAATCGTCGTCCAACACCCCCAAGCAAGTCCTTGCTGAGGCTCGCTCGATCAGTGTGATAAGTACCTGCATACCTAGGTATAATAACTATCGTCTCGTTCCTTCCAAAATAGCGAGTCTAAAGTTTTAATGTTGGCTTATTTCCCCCCCATATTTTCCGCCTTCTTTTTCTTTATCCTCGAATGGCCAGGGGCGTCCAAGTCGTTCCCCCGGGAACCCCCACAACGTTCAAGAGAACCCCACCAGTAAGGCTCGCTGAGGTTGCTCCACGCCCACGGAGACCCCAGCATGAGCCAAGAGTCGAGAAGCTTCAATTTACATTTCCTCTCGCCTTGGCCAAGAAACAATCCCACGTCATTATGTTCCTGGCTGATCTCGGAGAAGCAAATCTCCCACAAAAATATGTGTAACCGGCGGCAATCAGGATGAGGTAAGAGGATTGCGTTTTCCGAAGTCTCTAGGATAGGGAATAAGTTGATTGATTTGACCCCATCGGGTTGCCAGAGAAGGGTTCCCGAAAGTGTCACGGTCACCTCACTGTTGAAAGAGAAGAAACAATGGGTTACGTGAGACCCGGCACTTTCCCCAGGGGCAGCGCACACTCTGCCGGTCACCTGAACCCACGGCCAGCTTGGCACTTGCCGAGAGCGATACTGCCGAACATTGTGTTCCCGACGGCCAGCAGCTTGACCTCCTTCCGATTCCAGCCGACAGAGTGCACGGCCCAAGCGAGTATCATCTTGACACTTCCAAGCTGTGTGGCTACTCCCAGGCATATTCTTTTGTTTCGACGAGACACTGCGAAACAGGTGCGCCAGGCTGAGGATAAATCGAAAGGGGGAGGATATGAGATGGCGGTCTGAGGATATTTTGAGAGAAAAACCATCACATCACGGGCACTCAATCCCAGCCTGCAAGGCCCCGCTTTTGTCTGCTTTTCGGGTACGTTCGGAGGGAAACGGCCTGGGGACCGAGAAGCTGTTGGCCAGGCTTGAGCCAGGCTGCGCTGAAAAGGCAGAACTCAATGCCAAGGGACCAGGGTGCCGCCCGCTGGCCCGCCGAGATCCCGCCCTGGGATTCCCGATGCGATTTGATGAAGCTCGCCAGGGCTTCGTGCAACTTAACTCGCTAGGATTCTCTTTTCTTGTGTATCGCTCTCCGTCATTCCTCAAATCATTCCGCTGTTTTTTCCCAAGCTTTTTTCCACGGCAGCAACGTAGTCTATCGTCCCGACTACACCTTGCTGCGTTGACCACGACAGCAGCCCAAGGTGGCGTCACATCCCAGGGGAGCTCCCCTCCCAACCCACCATCGTCACTATTGCGTTCGACCCGCAAACAGCGCCCCACGAAGCGCTCACGCGATCAACCACTGCGGCCTCTCCACGCCTGCCACGCCGACTCTCTACCATTCCTCAGTCCCAATTAAGTTGCTACATGTCTCGACCATATATTCCATCCTCGTCCGCCTCCAGAACCCTGTTACAACGGCTATCACTCAGCAGAGATGGCTCCAAAGATTAACGGCCTGGGCATTATGCCCGAGGACACGCGGATCTGCGTCGTCATGGTCGGGCTTCCAGCCCGAGGCAAAAGCTACATTGCCCAGAGAGGTGAGATTATCGTTAGTTAACACGCCCTTTTTGGTCCCGACCACTGACGGCGCTGCTATCCCAGCCCAGCGATACCTAAAATGGCTGTCCGTCCCGGCGGCAACCTTCAACGTCGGCAACTATCGCCGCGAAAATGCCCCCCATCCGTCCGCCGACTTCTTTGATACCAACAATGCCGAGGGCGAACGCCAGCGCCGCGCAGCCGCCAATGCTGCCGTGGCAGACATGCTCAAGTGGTTCAAAAGTGGAGGGGTTGTCGCGATCCTAGATGCCACCAACAGCACCAAAGAGAGGCGGAAATGGGTCCTCGAACGGATCTCGAGTGAGGGTATCGAGGTCATATTTGTCGAGTCCAAGTGCGACGATGAAGAGCTGGTTATGGCCAACATCCGCGATGTCAAGGCCACCTCACCGGATTACGTCGGCCAGGATCCTGAGAAGGCGGCGCTGGACTTCCGGGAACGGATCCGCAACTACGAGAAGGTGTACAAGTCGATCAACGATGACAAGGATGAGGACCACTTGACATATCTCAAGATCATGAACGTCGGCAAGAAGGTCTTCATCAACCGCATCCAGGACTACCTACAGAGCCGCGTCGTCTACTTCCTCATGAACCTCCACATCCGCCCACGTTCTGTCTGGCTCTCTCGTGTAAGCACCTTTCCGAAACCCACTTGTGGCCTTCCCCCGCCAAGACCGCGCTCGCTGACCTTGTTTTCTAGCATGGGGAGTCCATGTTCAACCTAGACGGCCGGATTGGCGGTGACGCAACGCTCTCGCACCGCGGCGAAGAGTACGCCTTGAAACTTCCCGAGTTGGTCCGCGAGTCTGTCGGTGTAAGTGCCCATCCCAAAAAGTCTTGGCTCGGTGCGCCAAGCCGGATCCCCGACCCCCTGGTCTCGGTGGTTTGGCATGCCATGTGCCGTCCGCGTGCATGACCGCAGCTAACAGCACAAAATAGAGTGACCGGCCATTAACGGTCTGGACCTCGACGTTGAAACGGACCATCGCCACCGCCCGCCACCTGCCGAAACACTACAATCAGCTACAATGGAAGGCGCTCGACGAACTTGACGCCGGGGTGTGCGACGGCATGACGTACCAGGAGATCGCAGATCAGTATCCGGAGGACTTCCAAGCGCGCGACGAAGACAAGTACAACTACCGCTACCGCGGCGGCGAGAGCTACCGCGATGTTGTCATCCGTCTCGAGCCCATCATCATGGAGCTCGAGCGCAGCGAGGACATACTCATCATTTCGCACCAGGCCGTTATCCGCTGCATCTACGCCTACTTTATGCAGAAAACGCAGGAAGACAGCCCCTGGGTACCCGTGCCCCTGCACACCCTGATGAAGCTGACGCCGCGCGCTTATGGCACCGAGCTGCAGAGTTATCGCGCCAACATCAAGGCCGTCAGCACCTGGCGCGGCAAAGGTAGCACAGCGAAACACGAGGATCCCGCGCCGGAGGGTGGTATCTGACATTCAGGCTCGGGCTTGAGGCTGGCTGCAGGAAACAGTATGTTACATTGCTTTTTCAGCATTTCTAGACTTGTGTGTTGTGTTTCTTCTTTCGGCACGGGCAGGCGTGGAACCATCAAGCGGATTGTATACTTTTAGGATGGCGACGTGGAAAATCTCAGGGTTGGAGGCTGGGCGATCCTCGAAATGGAGTTTACGGTTGGGCGCCAGCGTTGGCTTTGAGGCTTGTGCTGACATTGGGCGCGAAAAAGGAGTCTGGCTACGGTCCCCGGCGGTGGAGAAATGGAGGCCGAGCCGGCGGAAGAAGAATTCGGTTTGATCGTTACCAATGCAATCACCGTGGCTACGGAATAATTATCGATCCCATCATGCTGTGGCCCCGGTCTGCAATGGATTGCATCCCCGGGCTCGAGGAGTTAAGCTGAGTGATATCCTTCCAAAATATTCAGCATAAATATTTAATCCATGCCTAAGTGTCTTCAAACACCTGTATAGCAAAAAGTAGTAATTAAAGAGTATCTTGACTTCAACTAAGCTCGTGCATGGGTCCAGGCTATGCGCGCTGATTTGAGACGACCGGGACCTGGGAAAGGGGGGGGGGGGCAGGACCACTCACTACTCGCACCAAGGTTTCAATTGTCTTCCTACTTAATCCTGCTTTACAGCAAACACCTCAGGCAAGTGGGTAGTATGGCCCACTACATTTTTATTTGATAGTCTGGGATATCCGGGCCCCTGGGTAGCCCCAATGTCTTCCACAGAACAACCCGTAACTTGGTTGTAGTTGGATTGTCACACAAAGACCCAGAAATCCTGCAAGCAAGAGGCCCCTATTCCCAACATCATAAGCCCCATCCGACTCACGACCCGACCGGCACGGCTTTCACCGGACTCCGTTTTCGGCCCGGCCGACTCATTATCGCCAGGCCAGCCATCGTGAAGAATGCACCACTCCATATCGGTATTGAATCCGGCATTTTGCCATTGAGGAGCGAGGATGAGGTTGAGCTTCAGATGTGGTGGGCGGGGGCGTGTTTGGTGTGCTTAAGAGGGGACAAGCCCTGCCTAAGAGGGGACAAGTGGTGTTATTGAGAATGGCGGGCAGACTCTGATGATTCCGGTCACCTTTGGCATTTTGTGATTTGAGGGCGCAACATATTCTACCTGTGATCAAGATCTACTAAGCACGACTAAGCGAGCTAATCCTAGAGGCTGAGCATTCTAGGCATGGCCCCAAAATATCCTCCCCATCTCAAAATGTCACCTGTGAGGCGGTTGTTACCAAGGGCAATCTGTGGGACATACAATTACCCTGCTGTAGCCCCCATAGGTCGTTTGGCCTCTAACACAACACACTATGCTGCGGGAGTATGCTGGCTCGGTTAGTACCTAACATCTACGACCGCCTCGACGAGTTTGGCTTGGGGAATTGAGGAACCATTGGACGTAGGTTACGTCAACAGCTGATTCGAGCTCCTGCAGCTTAGGACTCTGCAACTCCGGAAACCATGGGTTTGGCGTCAGGCAGAGACGCGGACAATGTCAGCCTATGCTCATGTTGACGCGGGTGACAGCAAGGCACCCGACTTATCGCCGGACAGGAAAGTTGCAGTCTTTCGCATTTTCGACAGTCATCAGGCCAAGTTTAGTAACGGTCTGGACTCCTACCCAGCATGGCCAGCTTGGAGGAATGTGTGGATGGGAGACTAGGCTTGTACTGGGCTGGTTGGTTGGTTTCGAGGGTTCAAGTCAACAGTTGACTCGAAGCCACAAGACTCCTAGCCCAACCTATCAACAACGGCCGGCGGCCTCAGTGGGAGAACTTCAACTGACCATGGGTCAACCATGTGTCATTCTTTTTGCCTTAGGCCCAGGTAGCCGTAGAGCCGCCCATTTCAAGGCTACTTGCCCACCTCGGTCTATATTTACGGGAGACTTCTCCTTTTGGTCTTCGCAATCGTTGCGGAATTTGGCGTCAGATGACCAGAGGACAGGCCGTGAGGCTCCATGAGTGAATGACCTGTCGTTGTGGTCGTTTCGGCTCCGCATTAATTACCATCCCGGCCCACACAAGAACCTTAACAAACATGGAATGCTTGGGAGTGCTTAGAAGTGGGGCAGGAGCTCCCAAGTAACTTCGCTCAGCCTCGACCGGCAACCCTCCCCCCCTCCCAATATCGTCAGGCACGCCAACGCATAATGTGAAGTTCTAGATCGGATCTCGTTTACCTGTTTCTATATTTTTTGACTGCTCGGGCGGTCGCCTCCGTCGGTGGTGCCAAGATGTTTGGCTTGCCGCTTCGTGACCCCTGCACCAAGAAATGACTGGCTGTCGAGAGCCGGCGCTTCGACGGGTTGAACAGCAAGCGCTTCGCTGGGCGACTTGATGGCAACGTATTGGTTTTGAGCGTGGGAAACAAAGAAAAGGCCTGTCAAGGATCTATCTTTACATCCGCTCATTGTTACAGTTGCTGTCATGCGGCCTGTTCCTGACCACTGTCCCTTTTATTGGGGCCATGCTCCCACTCCATTGTTGCACATCCTATTGTTCGTCGCCTCCGCTGTTGTTCTGCCACTTCACCTCCCTCCCATCTTTATCTTCTTCCATTGTCACACTTAGAGTCATGCATAGATAGGCGTATGGGTCATTCCTGCGCTTGAGTTAAGCATTCGTTTTCCTTCGTTTCTATTTTCCTCTATTTTTTCAGCATCACGTAGCTGGTCTACATCAACACCAACACTACTTCCTAATTCGGTAATCCACCGCTCTCACCACGGTACCAACCCAAGGTACCTACACCCCAAGACATCACGACACCAAGACACCAAAACACCAAGACATTCCATTCACCTTTTCCGCGGCCGGCCGCATCATGTTCTACAACGAAAAGACGGGGGCAGTGCCCCCGGTACCTTCCAACCTCAACGCCAACACCTGGCATACAGTCGACCTCCAACCCGCACCACAGCTCCAGCCACACGCTCACACCGCGCCAACCGTTACCCCTTATCTGGGGCTCCGAGCAAGACTCTCACAGCTTTGGTTCAACCGCTGGACCATCCTCCTCATCCTCGTCCTCGTCCGCGTCCTCATCCTGACAGCCGGCCTCAACGACAACATCGGCGATGCCAAGACAAAGGCGCTGTCGGCCTGCACCAAGGTTGAGGACATCGGCAGCGCGATGGCGTCCATGCCGCACTATCTCTCGGTGGGCGTCAACTCGATGGCCGCGGACGGCATCACCAAAACCGTGTCGGGCATGGTAAAGATGCTGATGATGATTTTGACGGGCGTCGAGAACCTCATCCTTTTCATCATCAACATGTACGTCGGGACGTACGCCTGCCTCATTGCCGCCCTTATCCACGGTGGCCTAGACGTGTCGGTCAAGGTCGTAGAAGGCGCCACCAAGGTCATGAACGACGCCATCGGCACCATCACCGGTCAGATCACCGAGTCCATCTCCGATGTTCAGGACGCCATCAACAAGATCCCCGATACCATATCCAGCTTCTTGGGTGGCGTAGACTTCGACCTCCCTAAGATCGATATCACCAAGAACCTGGATGACCTGGAAAACATCAAGATCAATAGCAACGAGCTTGTCAGGGATATCGTTGCCTTGAACAAGACCATCCCGACCTTCGACCAGGTCGAGAACTTCACCAAGAACGCCATCGCCATCCCTTTCAACTTTCTCAAAGAGCAGGTGAACAGCAGCTTTGGCTCGTACAAGTTTGACGATTCCGTTTTCCCTGTGGCTGAGAAACAAGCGCTCTCCTTTTGCTCGAACAACAGTTTCCTCAACGACTTCTTCGAAACGCTGTTCAACGTTGTCCGGACGGCCAAGATTGCCTTTTGCGTCGCAATCCCCATCCTGGCGGTTTTGGCGATTGTCGGCATGGGGTACCTTGAGATCCAACGCTGGCGGAGAGAGAAGCAGCGCTCTCGCGAGTTCACCGAGCGCGGCTACGACCCGATGGATGTCGTCTATCTTTCCTCGAGGCCGGTGACGGGCGGGTTCGGGTTGTGGCTGTCGGCCAAGTTCAAGAGTGTGAAGAAGCAGCTCCTTGTCCGGTGGACGATCGCGTATGGAACGTCGCTACCTGCCTTGTTCGTCCTCTCGCTTGCCTTCGCTGGCCTCTTTTCCTGCCTCTGCCAGTTCATCATCCTGCGCTCTATCCAGAAGGAGGCACCGGCACTAGCCAACCAAGTCGGGGACTTTGCCGGAGATGTGGTCGGGACGCTCCAGCAGGTGTCAACGAACTGGGCTGACGACGCCAACGGGGTTATCATCAAGCTCCAGGACGACATTAACGACGACATGTTCGGCTGGGTTAGCAACGCCACAACGGCCGTCAATGACACGCTCAACACCTTCGACGACGAGATCGACAAGGCCATCACGGCCGTTTTCAAGGACACCATCCTGTTCAACACGGCGCGCAACCTTGTTGGCTGCCTCATCACCCGCAAGATCGAGACGGTGCAAGAAGGGCTCACCTGGGTCCACGACAACGCGCACGTCACGCTCCCGCTCTTTGCCAATGACGTCTTCTCGCAGGGTGCCAATAATAGCGTTAATGGCGACAGCGACCTGACCAGTTTCCTGGCTTCCCCGTCCTCCGTCACGACCGACGAGATCACCTCGGCCGTCAACCAGGTCATCACCAAGCTCGAGCACGGCATCGTGCAGGAGGCCCTGATCTCCACCGCCCTCCTTTTGGTCTACGTCATCGTCGTCCTCTCCGGCGCCGTCCGCGCCCTGGTGGCTTCGGCGCAAAAGGAGAAGACACGGGGCGAGGGGGGCGAGCAGTACGGTGTCAAGGCGCCCGGCAGTCGGGGCAGCAGCAGCGCCAGCAGCGGGAACAGCGACAACCACCATTACCATCACCACCACGACAACAGCGCCCCCAGTGACTTTGACCGGAAAGGCGTCATTTACGCGGGCAGCGTCAAGAGGGGGCGGCCGGGCCCCGAGCGGTGGCCGTCGCACGCCAGGAAAAGCAGTTACCCGGAGGTGGAAGGCCCAGACCATTAGAGGTCGTCTGTAGCGCGCCCCCGTCGTGATTCGAATCAGCAGTGGGCGGACGATGAATGGGGGTTGTCGGTGCCGCCGCCGCCATCGCCGCGAAAGTACTCGCCAGTCTAGCGCTGGGCGTTGTCAGGCAGGGTGAGCTGCGGCTGGGAGGGGTGGGCTTGGATAAGACGGCGGATAATTAATTACTTCGTTACAAGTGCGCGTTCCTTTTTGTTTTTCCGGTAGATGAGGAGAGAGATACCCGTTCAATTCGAAATGACGTCTGATTTTGGTTGTCATCCCGCGCCGCGTTTCCCGTTTCGTGATGCGAGTTGGCCCGGAAGAGCGTCCTGCGCTGCGACAGGGGCCTCCGGATAAGTATTTACCAGCCCTTGTCCCCCACCTGAGCTCAACCCTTGCATCCCACCTTCGCATCTCGAACGACAAGCTGCATGCACGAATGAAGAACAGGTACGAATACCTGCACCGTTACAGAAGGTCCCGTCTCTACGTATGTACTTCGTACTTCGTTCTTCGTAGTAGACTAAACAGCCCATTTGTGCCTAGGTATTTCTATTACAGGGAGCACAAATTCACGGGTGCATCTTTAACCCAATGGATAACTAGGAGATAGACAATTGGCTTGCCAATCACCATGATCTTCAGGCCCCTCGCTTTGCATCCCTCTCATCCTGCGTGTCTGGACTCCGCTTATGTAATGAAATGGCGATGCATTCGGGAGGCCCAGCCGGGAAAAAAGCATCATCCTGCCAGTACTTGGTGTTTAGGGAATCGTCTTACGGCGCTGAATGGGGTGTTCGGTGGTCAATTTCAACATTTCGGGTCGCCTTTCGGTCCACCACAGTTGCCCCGTCAGGTAAGCTGTCCTGTCATCCTGCAGGTGCAACGGGTGCTGTGGAGCCTGGGTGGTGGCGGGTGATGCGGGGTCCAACGCCAGACAAAAATATGGTAGTGACTCAAACCCTGCTCTTCGCCTCTCCGCGTTTTGCTATTTGAAACGTCGTGCCTCGACAAAGGGTTCGTTCGAGTTGTCCCCAACATCCCGCACCCTTCTCCCGTGGTGTTCCTTCGTTGTGCAACGAGACCAACCATCTCCAGTATCCCAATTGACTGCCATTGCCCATCATGGAGGCACTCAAGCAGACATTCCAGCAATGCAAGGCACAGGGCCGGGTAAGCAATTGCCCCGCCATCTCTTGGTTACTCGATTCCCAACTTTGCTCGACATCGGCAGGAAAAACAGCGAGTTGCTAACCAGGATGCTGTTGTAGGCTGCGCTCGTTACCTATGTGACCGCCGGCTATCCCACGGCCGAGGCTACCCCTAATGTCATTCTCTCCATGGAGAAGGGCGGTGCCGACGTTATCGAATTGGGCGTGCCCTTTACCGATCCCATTGCCGACGGCCCGACCATTCAGACCGCCAACACCGTGAGTTTCCCGATACATTGGCACCGACAATAGAAACATCGCATCGAGATTCTAACCATGGTGCCCCGTACCCTAGATTGCTCTCGAGAATGGAGTCACGATCGAGTCGACCTTGCAGATGGTCCGTGATGCCCGGAAGCTCGGCGTACGTGCGCCCATCCTTTTGATGGGCTACTATAACCCGCTGCTGAGCTACGGCGAGGAGCGCCTTATGAAGGACTGCAACGAGGCTGGTGTTAATGGCTTCATCGTCGTCGACCTGCCGCCGGAAGAGGCCATCTCGTTCCGCAAGTGGTGCACCCTTGGAGGGTATGTCTCCGTCCCCCCTTGACGTGTACAAGAACAAACGCTAACCGTTGTCGTTTTTAGGCTCTCTTACGTGCCTCTCATCGCCCCAGCGACCTCGGACGCTCGCATGCGCATCCTCTGCAAGCTGGCCGACTCATTCATTTACGTCGTCTCCCGCCAGGGCGTCACGGGTGCGCTCGGCACTATCAATGCCAACCTACCCGAGCTGCTCTCTAGGGTCAAAAAGTACAGCGGCGACAAGCCTGCGGCCGTCGGCTTTGGTGTCAGCACTCGGGAGCACTTCGTGTCCATCGCTCAGCTGGCCGACGGTGTGGTGGTTGGCAGCATGATTGTCACCACCCTGCAAAAGGCTGCGAAGGGCGAGGAGTACAAGTCCGTGCAGGACTTCTGCTCTTACCTCTGCGGTCGCGCCGCCTCCCCCGAAGACGAGGCTACCCGTGAGGTCGGCATTATCGAAGCTGTCTCTGCCGCCCGGGGCACCGAGGCCGAGGCCCACGTCGATGGCGTTGTTACAGATACCGATGATCTCGTCGCCCAGCTGGCGGCCATGCACGGCAAGATCCCTGAGCGGTTCGGCGAGTTCGGTGGGCAGTACGTGCCCGAGTCGCTCATGGACTGCCTGTCGGAGCTCGAGCAAGGCTTCAACAACATCAAGGATGACCCCGCGTTCTGGGAAGAGTATCGGTCTTACTACCCTTGGATGGGTCGCCCTGGTCAGCTGCACAAGGCTGAACGGCTGACGGAGCATGCGGGTGGCGCCAACATCTGGCTGAAGCGCGAGGACCTGAACCATACCGGATCCCACAAGATCAACAACGCCTTGGGCCAGCTTCTCCTCGCCCGCCGCCTGGGCAAGACCAAGATCATCGCCGAGACGGGCGCAGGCCAGCACGGTGTCGCCACAGCTACCGTGTGTGCCAAGTTCGGCATGGAGTGCACTGTATACATGGGCGCTGAGGACGTCCGCCGTCAGGCTCTCAATGTCTTCCGCATGAAACTCCTCGGCGCCAAGGTCGTTGCCGTTGAGGCCGGCAGCCGCACCCTTCGCGACGCTGTCAACGAAGCCCTGCGTGCTTGGGTTGTCAATCTAGAAGACACCCACTACATCATTGGCTCTGCCATCGGTCCCCATCCTTTCCCCACCATTGTCCGGACGTTCCAGTCGGTGATTGGTAACGAGACCAAGGCGCAGATGCTCGAGAAGTGTGGCAAGCTCCCCGATGCTGTGGTTGCGTGTGTTGGTGGCGGTAGTAACGCCGTGGGTATGTTCTATCCGTTCAGCAACGACCCGAGCGTAAAGCTTCTCGGCGTCGAGGCCGGCGGTGATGGCGTTGACACGGCCCGCCACAGCGCAACCCTCGCCGCCGGCAGCAAGGGCGTGCTCCACGGCGTGCGCACCTACATCTTGCAGAACGAGCACGGCCAAATCAGCGACACTCACTCCATCTCGGCCGGTCTGGACTATCCCGGCGTGGGGCCGGAGCTAGCCAACTGGAAGGACACAGAGCGCGCTAAGTTCGTGGCTGCTACCGATGCCGAGGCCTTCATCGGTTTCCGCCTAATGAGCCAGCTCGAGGGCATCATTCCCGCGCTGGAGTCTTCTCACGGTATCTACGGCGCCCTGGAACTCGCCAAGACCATGCGGAAGGACCAGGACATTGTCATCTGCCTGAGCGGTCGTGGCGACAAGGACGTGCAGAGCGTTGCCGACGAGTTGCCCACCCTGGGCCCCAAGATTGGCTGGGACTTGCGCTTCTAAGGGTTTTATGTTGGCAGGAGCAGAAAGTTCCGTGCCCGATGACGACCTTGCGGATCTAGATGCATTTGATTGCCAGCCTAAATCGATCTGACCAAATGGTAGCATAGACTCATAGAGGCCTGAATAGAGAACAGTTCTGGTGTAATCTCCGTTAGCTGATAGAAGTGCTGTTTATGCGATACATGCGTCCGGCGTTTCGACTACTGCATTTACGCCATGTCAGCTCACTGGTTTGTGTGTTCGGTGTCAACAGATGGTGCTGGGGCAGGTTTACACATCAAGAATACAATATGGTACAATTCCTTGTAAATACCCCTGCGATAGCAGACCTGCCTCCCCCGTCTCCAGACTCCTCCCTACTGCCTTGGCTTCTCTTCCTTCATGAATCCATCCTTCATCTCCTCAGCTGTCTCCGCTGCCGCCGCCGCCTCCGTTTCCGTGTAGAGCTCAAACTCGGTCTCCTCCGCGAGCATCTTGTCCGTCTTCGCCATCAGCGCCTCCCCAGCGGCCGTCCCGTCCGGCAGCGCTTGCGCGGCCTCCAATATCAGCTCGTCGTCCTCCTTGGGCGGCAAGCCCAGGGCCTCGCGCTCGGCGGCAAAGCGGGCGCGCACGGCGGGGGTCTGCATGATGCGCCACCGCAACTTCCACCCCCAGGGGCCGAGGTCGCGCACGCGCTGCGGGGTGCGGCCGAGCAGGTACTCATCGAGGCCGCCGGCCTTGTCGACGGTGCGGAGCACGCGGGCGGTGACGCGGGTGCGCACAAAGACGCCCAGCGACGCCGACCACAGCCGCTTGTGGTGCACGTTGGGCCGCCACTGGCGCCGCGTCTTGATGTTGTTGCGCTCCGACACGTTGTTGCCAAACCGGATCCGTGCCGACCCGTACAGGCCCGTGTTGGACTGGTGGTACACCTGCCGCGGCCCGTACGGGTACGGCGGGATGTGGTGCTGCGGCGCCGTCACTGACGGGATCGGGATGTCTGATCCGGGCACCCGCGGTTGTTTGTAGAGCGTCGGGGGTGTCGTTGTGAAGGTTCTTGTCGAGAAGCGGGGGAAGGAGGTGGTCGCTGGCCTCGACGCCGCCCGGAGACAGGTCTGGATGGAGGGGTGTGTTGACGGCATCGTGAGGGGTCGTGTGGTTTCGGTGGATGTTGGTAACTCGGTGCTATGATGGCCGCATTGGTGAGTGGTGGGTGCGGGGAGAGAGTAGCAGGCTCAATTGACCCCCTCGTCGAGTAATTCCGAAGCCTAGACCCAGCAAGCAGCTCCAGCGACGGCAGGTCGAGTTGGAAACTCAAAATTTCGACAGGTTCAGAGTAGGTGGATGCCAGGTGGGGACGGCGCAGTGTCAGCTGGCCGCTGGGCCGAATGGCTCGGAAGTGGTCACATGCTTTCGCGGAGCAACCCCCGGCGCGCATCTGTCGCCCAGTGGCAGGGACGCGGCAACCAGAAAGATGGTCCACCATCAACCCCCGACAATCCAGCGGCTTGTATCATGCTTCCTCCAGTGGACAACACGGTCCTCCAAAATAATCCTGAGTTTGCGATTCTTTATTCCAAACTCACCAATTCGGTCCTCAATCCCGATGCATCAACGAAAAATGGCCCTGCGACCAAGGAACGCAGAGCGGTGACGGAAGTGCGTTGATCAAACAATTTCCGGGGGAGGGTATCATCGGATTGACTGTGCCGGCAGGAGTTGAACGAATACCGGCTCCACGTTGCCAAACAACACTTACTTACAGATGCTATCACCAATGCGAGTCCGCAGTCGCTACAAGTCACACACGCCCCGGCGCCATCGTTGACAAGGCGGCCACGGCCGCAGCAGCAAACGACAACGTCGACACCTGCAGAACTCCCACCAGCGCTCCTCGATCTCCTTCTCCTCCTACCGCCCCTGCTCAATGCACAATCCGACCTAACGTCCGAGTCATCAGCTCTCCTGCTCTCCAACCCACCCCTTTCCGATTTCCCAACCCACCTACCACAGCTCGCCCGCCTCGTCTCCACCACCCTCCACACCTCCGCCGTGCACCTCGCGCGCACCGCCAACCCAACCACCAACCCCTCATACGTACACCGCTCCATCCCCGCCCTCCCCACCCACGCGGCCTCGCTTGCAAGCAGCATCACGGAGCGCAAAGCCGAGCTCACGCGCGCGCGCCTGGCCGCCGCCGCAGAACTAACCACCCTGCTGCAGGAGCAAACCGCCGTGCTGACGCAGCTTCTCCGGGCGCTCGAGGCCAAGCACGGCCCGATCGCGCGGTCGCTCGAGTTCCGGGCGACGGAGGCGGCGCTGACGGCGCAGCGGCAGGAGGCCGAGGCCGAGACGGCGCTGTGGGCCGCCCGCCGCGACACGTACACGCCCGAGGCGGCGCGCGCGCTGGCGAGCTACGCCGGCCACCTGCGCGACGCCAGGGGCCGGCTGGCCGAGGCGGTGCATACGCTGAGGGGGGAGCTGGAGGCGTATGGGGTGGTGGTGGTGGAGGTGGGGGGGGGAGGGGCAGGAGGGCGATGGGACCGCGACGACGACGGCCACGGCAAGGGCCATGGGTGGGACCCGAGGTGGTGGCAAGGAAAAGGTCATGAGGGAAATGGCGCGGGTGTATCGTGACATGGGCCGACAGGTGGAGGAGGTGAGAAGTGACCTGGAACGGCTGGGCCGGGCGTGATACCCGGGAGAGAGGACATTCTGGTTCGCAAGCGGTCCTTGAGCAAAGGGACCCCCGAAGTGAGCTGACGCGTCGTGTGTTATGGTACAACAACCACTCCGCCACCAAAAGCAACATCACATTCTTTCTTTCCATTCTTCCTCTATCGTTTTGTGCATCCGTGGACGCATCCAACGGACTTTTCTGCCTACACCGTGTATCCATGTCCCCAAATAGGTGTACAGTCTAACGACATGAGACGAGACGAGACGTACACGTACACGCAACATGAGTCAGGAGGGAAGAGATCAAGCCAAACACAAGAAAACCCAGTCAGTCAGTGAGTTGGATAGCCAGCTGGCCATCCATCAATCCATCCGCCCGACCGTTACGCCAACTCCTCCCTTATTTTCTGTCTTTTTCTGCTTTAACCCTTCACCTTGAAGATGGCCTCGGCGAGGCGGCCAACGTTGTCGCTGGTGATGCCGGCGACCGAGATGCGGCCGTCGCGGGTGGCGTAGACGCTGTGCTCCTTGGCCAGGGCGTCCATCTGCTCCGGGGTCAGACCCGTGTAGGCGAACATGCCGATCTGGCTGGTGATGTGGCTCCAGTCGTGCTTGGAGCCGAGGCGCTCGAGGTTCTCCTTGAGCAGGGCGCGCATGGTGATGATGCGGTCGGCCATGGCCTTGACCTCGACGAGCCACTGGTCGTACAGGGCCGGGGTGGTGAGGATCTCGGCGGCGATGCGGGCGCCGTGAATGGGCGGGTTCGAGTACAGGGGGCGCACCAGGATCTTGATCTGCGAGTCGACGCGCTTGCGCTCCTCGGCGTCGGCGCACACCATGGAGAAGGCGCCGATGCGCTCGCCGTACAGGCCCATGTTCTTGGCGAACGACTGGGACAAGCAGATGTTGTGGCCCTTTCTCGACGAAGTGGCGCACAGCAAAGGCGTCCTTGTGGATGTCGCCACTGGCAAAGCCCTGGTAGGCCATGTCGAAGAAGGCAAAGTGGCCCTTGGCCTTGACGGCCGCCTCGATCTGCGTCCACTGCTCCTGGGTGGGGTCGACGCCGGTGGGGTTGTGCGCGCAGGCGTGGAACAAGAACGCGCTGCCATTGGGGGCCTTGTTGATGTCGGCGAGCATGCCCCCAAAGTCGAGCCCGATGGTGTCCTTGTTGTAGTAGGCGTACTTCTCCACCTGCAGCCCCGCGTCCTTGAAGACAGCGGCGTGGTTGGCCCATGACGGCGTCGGGATGTAGATGGTCTTGTTGCCGGGGAAGAAGCGCTGGATGAAAGCGGCGCCGATGCGCAGAGCACCGGTGCCCGAGATAGACTGGGTGATGGCCAGGCGGTCGAGGGCCGAGCTGTCCTTGCCGTAAGCGAGCACAGCGGCGGCCTTGGTGAATTCGGGCACGCCCGTAATGCCGGCGTACTCTTTGTTCAAGCGCGACTCGATCACCTTCTGCTCGGCCTGGCGCACAGACGGCAGCACGTAGGGCTTCCCCTTGTCATCCCGGTATGCGCCAACGCCTGCAAAACGGAGCACCACGTGTTAGCTGGTTGCGGCAGCGGGGATCCAACAGGGGCGGCGGGGATCGCTGGAGATCGCACGAACCGAGGTTGATCTTCTTCTCGAACGAATCGGCCTTGAAGGCTTCTGTGATGCCTGCGCAACAAACAACCGTTAGTTTTCTGTGCTCTCTCGAGTTGGAGCGAGCGGGGACCGGGTGGTGCGCTCCCCCCCCCCCCCCCCCCCTCTCCTTCCCGCTCTCCTCAAGGGTGCACGATCCCGAGAAATGGCTGGAGAAAAAAGCCGCAAAATCCCGTTGGGTAACAAAGTCCACGATCCCAATGCACTTTTGCCGGCTCGGACCAAGACCACATACTTCCTGTTACAACTTTTGGTCAGCCTCGTCGCACAAACACAAAGCTGCAATTCAAGGGATTTTCCTCGAATTTGACATACAGGAGGACCCTGCGGGACATTGGCCCCATGTGGACGCAGCGCGAATCGCGGCGAAGTTGCGGGGCACCGCCGCCCGCCGCGACGCAGGTTCTGAGGGAGGAAAGCATCATTTCTGTGAATAGAGAGGAGGGGGTGAAACTCCGGGTGTTTGTCTGAGGGAAAAAAAAAACAGGAACAAACTAGAAGCAGCTCAGGCCAGCGAGGCTCGTGTGGTCATAACAGCTCTCAACTCTTACTCCCTCGGCGCAGCGCAGTCACTGTGGGGCTGACGTTGGAGTGGGCTCGGTGGCCTGTCGACAGTGGGGCACAAAAGTTTGAGCCAGCACTGGTTGGCCAATTGGCAAAATTGCCCGGGACGGAGGCGGCGGAGCGCCCTCCCGCGCTGCCCCCGACCTCGGCCGAACCGCGCCCGATTCAGACAGAGCAAACGTGGGGGAGGCATGGGGAAGGGGTTGAAAGCACATTCAACCCTAACCCGGTGGCCGAAAATTGACGGTCCAGGCCAACAGGCCGCCTTGCAACCCCCAATCGAAAGCAATGTCAATTGAGGGTTTTTTTTACCCCTCCAAAGCAGATCACTCCCCCCCACCAAATTCAGAGTTTCAGGTGGCTTCTCGCATCCTGCATAACCCTCAAGATCATGAAACTATGTGGTCAGTGTTTTACGGCATGTGTGACAACTGACCCCAACTCTCCACGTCAACCTTGTGGCTCGGTGTGTTCGGGTTCTTCTTGCCATCATTGGAGCGGGTCGAACGGGTGAGGACTCTGGGCATTGACCGGCCACCCCTTGCCCTTGCCCGCCATGATGTTGCTGACCCCACAGACCGCCTCCATCCCCTGTCCCCGGATTTTCCCACCCTTGCCGACAACAAAAAATCAACGCCGCAACACCAAAACTCCAACTGCCGAGTTGTTTCGGTCGGGTTGTGTGATGTGATAGGTGTCGACGTTTGAAGTGCGTGGTCGCAGGCGAACAGTGCCGGTGAATCGTTGAGATGCCAGTCATCTGTGTGTCCAGGGATTTAGGTTGAGACGCCTACCAATGACATCTGTGGGCCTGAAGACAGATCCTCAGCTCTCACAACAACTTGAACACTTGACAATTCATGTTCAACACAGTATTACCATGTTGTGGCCGTATTCTCAAAGTACCAAGAACACAAATCGAGTTGCTGGTACCGAGGTGATCGTATCGTCACACTTCACAGGGGAATGAAGCATCTTCATGGCGAGTCTGGTGGTATCAACGTCTCGTGGTGTAGCAATAGAAGAAAAAGGGTGCACCTCTTGAGTCTCAGCATCGCGAACCATATATCAAGTCCGGATACCAAACCCCTTTCCAAGGAGTTCCCGCCCCTTTTAATCGTATCCAACCAACACCCACTTGCTCGCTCGAGTCCCTCTAGTTGACAAATCACCATTGCCTTCGGCTGCACAATTATCCTCTCTGGCACAACAGAGACTGACCTCAGACTGATTCCAGATGGCTCTCTTTCTTACTACCCTAGTCCTTGCCGTCTCCGCTACGGCTCGGGGTATCACCGAAGCCCCATCGGCGATAACGCCGGCCGCAAAAGCGGATTGTGCCTTGACCAACTCCATACCAGGGTGCGGTGTAAGTGCAAGCACGAATCGGGAGCCTCCCTTTCCCCTTCCGATATTCCTGGCCACTAACATCGCCACCTCTGCCAGATCGGATGTCTCATCTCTGCTGGCGGCGCTGCCGGTTGCTCCAACCCGTTGGACCTCGGTTGCCAGTGCAAAGTTGCCGCGCAGATCCGCTCTCTTGCCTCGGATTGTGTCACGAGCGCGTGCGGTAAAGAGGTGGGCTCTACGCTCCAGTCCGTGGCCGGTGCTATATGCACCCAGTGTGTCTTCTAGACTGCTATCATCGGGGATGATGGGGCATCATGGGCAAGGTCAATGGATTCTATTATCTTTTGTACACGGCACCGGGCCGGGATTTGCCATGTATTAGTTTCAAGCTACTTTAAGTCGAAATGCTATTTTGTGTCATTTTGCCTTTGGCCCATAAACCTGAGAATACCTAGGCGGCCGTGGTCGTCAAAATCGATTCCCGGGATGAAGTCCAGAGCCCAAGGAAGAGAGAACGATGGAGAACATGTGGGGGATCTGGCTCCAGGCCTAATACCACTCGCTTTATTAGCACGAGAACAGCGGATCCAAAGATTTCCCAGCTGTTTTGTCCTTGTTGTGCCTTTTCCGAATTAGTTACAATGGATGTAATACGTCTTATATTGAGCTTCAAGCCATCGACTTCGAACAAATTCTGATGTACTGGCGGGAGTTCAGACGAAGGCGAACACATGGTTAACGTGGATGCGGTTGGGATATCCTTGCTTAGAACACATGATTCTCAGGGCAGGGTTGTTACAAGGCCTGCGACGAAGAGCTGAGAAGTGTCAACCCCTGAATCCCTCTTTCCAGCTTTTACTGTGTGCATACCCACACAATACCTGCTGATGAGTACCCAGTGCCGTAGCGTTGGACTTTAGATTCTTAACACCGATTCCGGGTTCCACCTCTTTAGCTTCTTCCCAGCGGCCAAGCACCCAAGTCGCCTTCCAAACTCCACCGAAGCAGATAGAGTTTGCATGGCGATGTCCACAATTATTAATCGGCATTGAGTGTGGACGCGGACTTAGTGGAATTTGTTTGAACAGTGTCTTGAAATCTCTGTATGGTTCCTTGATTAATTGTCTCCATCAAGCAGGGGCAATCATTTCACCGGCAGTTGAATGGGGCGTTTCGGAGTACTGGGGCAGATATATAAACCTCTCTTCCTTCCCCTTTTTCACTCTCTACTTGCACATTTTAAGGATCCCAAGAAGCCACGGTATAATCAAAACCCCTAGTACCACGTCATCAAGTCACCATGTCTTCCACCGATTACAAATTTGAGGGGTGGTTGGGCTTCGACAAGTCCGCGGCCGAAGGAAACATGAAATGGGCCGAGTTCGAACCCAAACCGTGGGAGGAAACCGATGTTGATATCAAGATTACACACTGCGGAATCTGTGGTAGCGACCTTCACACCCTACGAAGTGGCTGGGTATGTTTACTCCACCCTTTCCCCATGGTGACTGAGCATTGCTAATATCACGACAGGGCCCAACCAACTACCCTTGCTGTGTCGGGCACGAGATTGTCGGCACCGTCGTACGTGTTGGTTCCAAGGCGGAGGGCGGCCTAAAGTTTGGTGACCGCGTTGGTGTTGGCGCTCAAAGCGATTCGTGCCAGGGCCGCAAGGGTGACTGCGAGGCCTGCGCGTCGGGGATGGAGAACTACTGCGGTGTGCACCACGTCGGCACCTACAACGGCGTCTACCTCAACGGCGGCAAGTCCTACGGTGGATACGCTCTCTACAACCGCGCCCCCTCGCGTTTCGTTGTCAAGATCCCGGACGCCATCAGCTCGGCCGACGCAGCACCCATGTTGTGCGGTGGCGTCACTACGTATGCGCCCTTAAAAAACCACGGTACCGGGCCGGGGAAGACGGTCGGCATCATCGGTCTGGGCGGGCTGGGTCACTTTGGCGTCATGTGGGCCAAGGCCTTAAAAGCCGACAAGGTCGTGGTTGTTTCGCGCACGTCGGCCAAGAAGGAGGATGCGCTGAAGATGGGGGCCGACGAGTTTATTGCCACGGCCGAGGAACCTGATTGGGCCAAGAAGCACGCTTCGACACTCGACATCATAGTCTGCACAGTCTCATCATCTTCGATGCCCCTGATGCAATACCTGTCTCTACTGCGTTTCGATGGGACGTTCGTCCAGGTTGGAGCCCCGGAAGATGGTCTACCGACTATCCAACAATTCCCTCTCATCTTCAAACGCCTCAAGATCACAGGCTCGTTGATTGGTTCCCCGGATGACATCAGGGAGATGTTAGCTCTGGCCGTGGACGCAAAGGTCAAGCCATGGATACAGGAGGTCCCGATGAAAGATGCCAACAAGGCGATTGTGGACATGGAAGCGGGAAAGCCGAGATACCGCTCTGTCCTTGTCAACGAGCCTCAGGGAGTCTCGCAGGTAAAAGCGGGATTGTGAAGTCTAGCCAGATACACCCAGCACCGTTTGTATATATGATGATAGACCGTACATGAACAATTCAAGTTAACACCCCCGAAATATATTTTCATACACCGCTGTGCCCTCGGGCGTGCCGGAACTTCTACAGATTTTTGGCTACATAGGAAACCGTGCCCAAGGGCCGGATGAAAACCTACGTACTATACTAAGGTCCTTCAAATCAGATTCCTTCATACTACTGATGTCCTGGCCTTCTCCAACCCCATCTGCCCCCTTTGTCGGGATGTGATTGGTTCCAGGGATGCCATCGATTCCTCCGTTTCCTTCCCTCTTTCCGTCTCCTCTGGCTTCAGTTCTCTTCCAGGGGGGCTCCCTGGCAGTATTCTGCTTGGCAGTTCTGCTTCTGCCCTGGGTCTTGTTTTCCGCCAGGGTCCCCAGCTCCCACGGCTCATGGTTTTTATCCTGCAGTGAGCTGCACAGGTTTTTGCCGATCGGTGTGCGACGCTAGGGGGCCCAGTCCCCATGTCTCCGAGACGACGGCTATTCCTCGGGGTTCCTTCCTGGTTAGTGTGACTCTTTCCAGAATTGCAGGGGACCAATCCTGATTGACTGGAAAGAGGGCGAGGGAGGCCGGATTCGAACCGACAGCCTTGTGGCTTCCAGGTGTAACACACTCCAACTACACCACTCCCCCACACCCCCGAAATACCGATGAACCCGTCAGAATATTGGCTTGTAAACGCAAAGACCAGGTTCCAGTATCGAGTTCTAAGAGACTTATTTTGCGTCGTAAAGTCCCTGGGTATATTTGCGCAAAGGGACCCGGGCACAGTCCACCTGAATATAACTACCTATGTACATGTACGTTTCTGGAAGCAATGTTAAATAATTCATGAAGATGATGAATTCTCCCTCTATAGTTGCCGCCCATTCTACATCCCAGACAAAAGCTTATCCGTGTTTAGAGGAAAAGAAAAGTGGCAGCCAAGCCGGCGATGCCAGCAACGGCGGCAACATATCTCGGGGTACCTGAGGCGGCGTTGCCAAGGGCTTTGTTGTACCGGTTGACAGCGTTGGTGCACTGGGCCACGTCCGTAGCCAGGACAAGTTCCAGGCCGGCGCCGAGGATGCCGGCGGCGCCGTCGTCGGTACATTGGGCGGCGACACTGCTGATGGTGGGGGCGGCGCTGGATTGCCAATCGGACATCCGGCTGTTATAGCTGCTCCAGGAGCTCGACAACGACGCTGGCGGCGTAGGGAACGTGCTCGTCATAGCCTTGCAGAGCTGATCGGCGTTGTCGATATTGTCACCACTGTCGATTGCGCTCTGAACGGCTTGGAGGGCGTCGTGTTCAGCAACCCAGCTCCCAAGGGCGCCGGTGGGAAAAGGAGGCATGTTGTCCAAAATGCGTGAAGCTCCCTTAGCGCATTCCTCCGTATCGCGCGCTAGGAGTGGAGCGGCAGTCACGGCCGGGCCGGGCTGTGCCAGCGCTGAGGCCGTGGCAGCGAGGGCGAAGGTGATGAAGGCTGGAGTTTGCATCTTGAAGTAATGGTGTATATGTGCAGGTTCAATGATCGGGTTGATCGAATGAGCTGACGTGGGTTTTCAGTATGGGTGGGTGAGTCTTGACTGAGAAAAATAGGAAGCAGATGATCATGCTGAGCTGTGGGAGAGATCATGAACAGCTTTAAACCTCATCCGTGGTATTCTACGTAGCATCCAGCCTCAGCCCCCTGTTCGCGTCGAGGCCTCCTGACCTCCTGAGGCTGGAGGTGGGCTGGGTTAATTGGCGCCATACGTGGCTGAGGATTCTGCCGCAGCGCTCTTGGCCATGTATGTCCCTGAAAAGCTACGGGGATTGGCCACTAAATATCGATCCTCTCGCGCTTGGACCTCGGCAGAAGCCGACTGTGCATGCCTTTGCCAACAAGGACGCCCTCAACAGATATCCACGTGTTGCCGGTTCGTTCATTAGCGAGCCTCACGTCAGCTTGCTGAGAGGCTGAAGCCCATCGCATCTCGATTTGAGTTTCCCATCGCGTTTCACAGAATGGGTGATCCTCGTCAGATTGTAGCTCTGGCATTCTGGGCGTTGACTGTTTGGGTAAAAAACAGCGCCCTTATGTGGGGATTTTGATCCTTCGCCCCCGAGTCCGAATCCGACCCAACCCGATTGAATTGATCCTTGACTACACTACTTCGTCCCTCGTTCAAGGAAGCAAGAGTTTGAGCAAAGGGCAGATATCAGATCAGGTCTTTACCCAGGAGAGGCGGGGTTAACTGGGCGGGTACCTTAGTTACCTATTCAGTTACAATTCGTAGTCAATCTACTTACCTACCTTACCTAAACCAACGTTCTCACTAAGGTGCTAACTAGGGTAAGTGTACCTATGTAACTAATGCACATGTTCATTGTTTTAACCGTGCTCTGTCTGCGTCAGTTTCGCCGCCCATGTAGACTCTAGAGATTATCGGAGGAGAGGCTTCCAGGTTCATGGCCCGTATCCCGAAAGGAGGAGCTCTGAACGCGAATACAAACCGCCAAATAGCATACGGTTGTACTTGTGATGCCGGATAGGATCCATGCGGTGGGGTGGCTTTCAGAATAGAATCTGTGTCGGAAAGTTGTGTGATGACAAGAGTTCTCCCTGTCTTTAGCCTCATGTAGAAAGTGCACTCAATTACTCGCGATCATTGCTCTGACCGGCAGTCCATGTTTGGAAGGATCTTCGTGATTTGATTTACCCAAGGGGCTTGCTCCCGGTCTCAAGTTGCCCACCCACTTAGGTACCTAGTAGGTACCAGGTACGAGAGAGCAGGTCAGCTAGAATACCTAAGGGAGCTGCGGTCCTTGTTAGAAAGCTACCAGGAACGGATTGTTTATTCCTCGTACGCGGAATTGACCGAGGAGTCAGAATGGTCAAGCTAGACTAGTGGCTTTTGTTTTTGCGCTCTGCGCCAGCACCTCCACGGCAGCAACCGTTCAGTATCGCCGATACGCGTTGAATCCCGGGTCAGCACCGCAGACTCCCCAAAATGTACGGAAATGTCCTTAACAAATCCGACATGGGGCATTTTCAGCCCTGCCCTGGTGGCAATCAAAGTTTCTAGCGGTGGAACATAAGGCGACGTTCGCTTTTTGGTCATCAACTCCGCCACTGGGTTGACTGCAAACTGCACGGGAACCGATATCAACATCTACCCTAAGGGAGCGGCCGATCTAAGCATTTGGCACAATTGCAGTATACCGGACCTGTCCTTCCAGTTTGACCTTGAAACTTGAAATGCGTCTTAGAGGAAGCTGGCAGTGTGATAAATCTTTGAGGCTCGTTATTGTTGGATTAGCCACATAGGACTTTCTGGCGGATACCAGCTGTTGAACAGCCATGGCACCGGAAACAGTCATGACACCCGGAAACAGTTTCATGGAATTTTGGCAGCACAAAGACTCGGGTTAACTCAAGAAGACAAAGGAAAGATTTAGGATAAATCCACTTGCTCTAAAGAACTCTAAGAAGCGGTGGAAGAAGATAAATCAATTCTTTCTCCACATCTGTTGGAAGACCAACAGCCACTGATCCAAGGTGTCACACACACAGGAAGATGGGAATCCACACGGCTGAGCCTAGGAGGCTATGAGAGTCTGCCAAAATCAATTGTCATTGTCCCCCTCTTCCCTCTGTAAGGGGGTTCCAAACCCGTGATGTCTCTCTCTGAGCAGCGATGGTGGCACCGCATGCAACCGCACCTGGCCTAAGCCGAGTGATCTCTCCGGCCTAAGCCGACCGATCTCTTGACACCACGTTCTGGGCCTTGACCCATTGACCCTCCTGTGCTCAGACCTCCTGGTCTACCTTCCAACAACATCTTTCCATCTGAATGTCGTTTTCCAACAGTTATCCTCCCCCCAAAGCCTAGGAACACACCCTAATAACTGTTTGGTGCATTTCTCGGAAGTAGCCTGAGTTTCACCGCAAATGGTATTACCTGGGAGATCCCGCTCATTCAAGGCTGCTTTGACGAGGGTACACCTCGTGGACTACAGACCCTGTGCATTATGGGCAACTCACAGGTTTCCGCCGGTCTCTCGGCCCCCGTAGCCATCCATCCGCAGTTACCTCTTCTCCCATACACGCCCCGCGAACAAGCTCAACGGTGTGTTGATAGATCATACGACCCGGAATAGGAGATCAACAGCATCCTGTATGAACACCACGTGGTCAAAAAAAAACAAAAAAAAACAACGCAACCTCGATGTCTTACGATTTGCCTCTATCAATCATAAATCTCTCTGATGGAAAGAGCACGGAATGTTATGTCACAGTTAATCTCTCGCAGAACACATTCCTCAACGGATCTGCGCCGTGGGTCGCTTGCAAGGGAACAAGTGTGTTCAACTTGACCTCTGCCGCCTCCTCCTTCAGAGGGATGATAGACAAGGATTACGGAGTGTTTGGCATTAGGGATGCTTGGGTATTCCCAGACGGTGTTCCTGATGTCGAGAGGTACTGTTGCTCTCACCCCGTTTGACCCTCGAAGTAATATCGTTTCCTCTCTACTTACCGCGCTACGTCTCAGGAACGACTATAGCGAGATAGGGTACACCGGAATTAGTCTCGATTGCGGCTACCCCTTGAATCTGGCTACCTATGACAGTCAAAGCTTGGCGGTAGACGCTTCGTACGACTACGACTGCAGTCTCTCGACCTCGCCAGTCACGTTTACTGGATACCGGACCGACGTCCCGCCCATACCACACACATATTACACACGGAGCTGCACCATCAACTCAATCTCGAATACTACGGCTATGGCCCTGCGAAGGTACCAGGTTGAAACCAATAACTTGGGCGGCAACAACGAGACATATGACTGGAACCTTTGCGCTCTACAACCCAGGCTCCGGAGATACATACAGGCTAGAGCGTATCTCCGTCATCGATGACGGCGATTGGCATGCGTGCACCGCAGGCTCACAAAGTCTGCCGTGGCAGCTAGTGACATGCCAGTACATGCTAGGATAACCGACTTGGGTTTCAAGTCCAGTGGTATTGTGACGACCGGGACCCGCGCAGCGTGTGAGTACAATCCTCCAGACTGCGCCATAAACGCTTGCCGTGCTACTCGGTGGGCGTTAGGATTCTCTTCAATAGAGCAAGAGCTCCCAGCCGAAGTCTGCGAAACAGGGGAGGGGCAAGAAACTTGCGGCTTGCCGGTAGACGCCGCGGAGCTGATCATGTCGGTGTCTTCACTGTCTTGGACAACGTCCGGGAAAGCCTCAATGGACACGGGCCCAACTCTGCCATGGATCTAGTACATACAGCATATCACGGAACCATGCAAAAATTGACTTGTTTGCCTGCCTAGGTACACACCGTAAATGTGATAGTCCCTGTGACCTGCCCGTCAACTTTGAAGTATCCCGGCGCCTCGCGCCCGTAGCTCAAGGTATTCGATTCGCCGCCGCTTTGGGGGTTTGGGCAAAATGTATTGTTGCCACAACCTGCACCAAAGAGGTGTTTTTGAACAATCTTTGGGCTGGATGAGCCAAAAGAGCCGGGGCTAGACGACCCGTTGGGGGCTGCATCTGCGGGAGGGTAACAGCGTATCACGTAAGATTGGACTTTCATTTAACAAGGGCCCTGATTGATGGTTAAACACGGTTGATTGGCACTGGATTTCGGAACCAAAACTTTTTCTTAACCGGTCCCCAGGGATGTTCGCCTATCACGACGCACCGGTTCGGCAGCGAACCGGTTGCGTCCTCTCCGTGACCGAACGGGAGTACCAGAAAGCCCGATTGCATGGCTTCGGGAGAGCCATGCTTGGGTGTTGTACAAACTATTGGTTTATTGCTAAAGCGGGAGCATTAGCGAGGTTCGCCTGTGCATGAGATAATAATACAATACTGGGCTCGTGGCTTGGTGTAGGGGACTAAATGGACGGGAATGTTAAGTTATAACTGATGATAAACGCCACACACGCTCCATAAGGCGAAGCCCCCGGATTTATGACCGATCTTTCCCTCACTGCCTGGTATTTGTCCCTGATAATTATTTGGATCGAGGCCGGTACTAATCGTCGAGCGTCTCTCCATCCATGATAGGTGGTGAGTCGCAAAATACCTCATCTTATAATGACTGAAAAGCAGCCAGAGCTTGGTATCACCGAATTGGGGGCAAATGATACGAAAAACAGAGAATTGCCGCTGAAGGACATTGGTTTGCGGAATAGAGCTGAGCGTGTCCATGAGTTTCAAGAAACGGAGGGTTACATCATCGATATCAACACTGAGGATACGTCCAAGGTATCGGGCCTTAAGCTCGCGGGAGACGGACATACTGTTTTGATTCCGCAGCCGACGGACGACAAACATGACCCGCTGAATTGGAGCTGGGCGAAGAAACACGCAATCCTGTTTGTTGTGGCCTTCGTTTCATTCCTTCCTGATTATGGAAGTGCCACGGGTGCGGTAACTCTGATACCGCAAGCCGAGTGAGTCCCCTTTGCTTGAGTAGTGAGAGTTAGCTAACAAATAAAAATAGGGAGTGGCATACGACACCGGACTATGTCAATCATTCACAAGCTGGGAATGTGTTCATGTTGGGTGCAGGTGGCGTGATTGGTATGCTCCGAGGTTTCAGGGCTTCGATGGACTGATTCATCTGACCGTCTTTATGATAGTCGTTATGTTGAGCGCCTACTTTGGCCGACTCCCTGTTGTCTTTTGGTTTCTCCTCGTGTCGACGGCAACAGCAGCTTGGTGCGCCGGGGCCACTACGTTTGAGTCCTTCATGGCAGCCCGCATTCTCAATGGCTTCTTCTCGACTGTTAGTCAGGCGGGCGGACTCATGTTCCTCAAAGACATCTTCTTCTTCCATGAACAAGCGCGCAAAATCAACATCTGGGCGTAAGTGCCGTGAGCCCGCATGTTAAGACAAGGTCGCTAACCAGTAGCCGTGGCGTGATAAAGCTCGTTCATCGTGATTAGCCCGTACATGGGCCCTCTATTAGCCGCCTTCATCACGGAAACACAGCGTTGGCCGGTGCCGTTTTGGGTCTTCTTTGCGATGAATGTCCTTGGCCTGGGGCTGGTGGTCTGCTTTCTCCAGGAGACGTACTACGACCGCATCATCCCAATCGATGAGCAGCCAGCACGGGGTAGCCGGATATCACGGTTGACGGGGGTGGCGCAGTGGAAGTCACGCCACCTTCGCAACACATTTGGGCAGGCATGCTGGCGTACTGTTATCGTGTTGACAAAGCCAACGGTAGCCATAGCATGCCTCTTCTACGCACTGGTAAGTTCCCCCGGGACCCTGGATGTCCAATAGATGGCAGAGAGAGACAAAAAGCTAACTGAAAGGTCGGTGATTTTTGAAGACATTCGCGTGGGCCGTTGGTATCAACACGACACTTGCGATTTTCGTGACGCCGCTGTACGGCTTCGCCCCGAGACAAGTCGGCTTCTTCTACTTCACGCCGGTAGTAGCCGTGATCCTTGGCGAGTCAGCGGGGCATTGGTTGCATGATGCACTGGCGAAGCGTTACATTCGCCAACACAAAGGCCACTTTGAGCCCGAAGCTCGGCTGCGTGTAGTGTTTTTCTCGATGCCGTTCGTCATTGTTGGCCTGGTGCTCATCGGGCAGTGCTTCGAGAACGCATGGCATTACATGGCGACGAGTGTCTGTTGGGGCATGTATGTTTTCGGTATGATGATTACAACAGTGGCGCTCAGCAGTTACTGTCTCGACAGCTACCCGGAGGCGTCCGGGGAGGTCTCGGCGTGGTTGAACATGGCGCGGACAGTTGGGGGTTTTATCGTCAGTTATTTCCAGGTAACGTGGGCTGAGGCGCAGGGCACCAAGTTGAGCTTTGGTATCCAAGCGGCCGTGTGCGCGGGCGCGTTTTTATTCATCATCATCCTGCTTCGATGGGGGAAGGCGATGCGTGTTTGGGCCGGTCCGTTGAACTTTGCAACCAGTTGAGGGGAGCGACCATGGAAATGATGTGAATTGACCCATGGTGGAATTGTTGGTAGTGGGCTAAGCTTGATAGTGAAAATGAAACGGTTGGTTTTGGCTTTTCAAGATTCTTTTCCCCTGTTTCCTTTTTCTTTTTCTTTCTTTTTTTTTTTTTCTTTTCTTATCGCGGAGACCGTGTCGCCTCGATGTTTTGTGCATCACCAGCTTGGAAGAAAACCAGCTCCATCTTGCGTCATTCACACTCAACTGTCAGCTGTTAACAGCTGGTCCCTGGCCTTCAAACCCTCCGCGTTTCCCCAGCTCGCCCAGTCATGTTCTTAGGCAACCTTGACGGACCCGCTGTTCCGTCTTCATCCTGCAACCACCAAAATGCCAACCAAGAGGAGCGCCACATCTCAGGACGAGGATGATGACCTCGAGCCTGTCGAAGATTTGACACAGCCGCTGGCTCTGCATTCCAAGCGCACCGAACGCCGGCGAAGGAAACAGGAGAAGCGTGCAACTTCAGCATCGTCGGCCGCCAATCAACTAAGAGGATTTCTCGACCTTCCTCTTGAGCTGATGATGGCCATTTTGGATTTACTCCGTCCCAGCGATATTTTTGTCCTGTCCCGAGTGAATCATGAGCTCCGCAACTTCCTGCTCGCAAATGAAATGATCATCACCCGCCGCATTATCGATTTCCGTTACCCAGTTCTCGAACGATGCCTTATACCCCCGGTCCTTATGGAAAACATCGACCCGGCCATACAGCTGCTGCTCAAGAGCCCCGACCGTCCGGATCTTGCATTATCGCACCGGACAAGCCCTCACAACATCCCATCCCCGGACAACACGCTCCATTGCACATGTCTGACCTGTATGGTACGCTGGAATGCGCTCTGTGCCGCCGTCGACTTCGCCCACTGGCAAGACCATCTCGACAAGGGCATACCCATTCCGACGGTTCCCCGCGGCACAGTTCCCCCGTGGAACGGCGAACTCCTTGCGAGGAATCGCCGCGTAGTCCTCAAAGCCCTGACCAGCTCCCTGTGGTACGCCAGGATCCTACAGGCGCACCTCGACTCTACCACCAGGTCGATTCGCCGTCACAGCCATAACAAAGCCGACCAGCGCCCTCATTTTTACATGACCGACACGGACATGAGGGCGAGCACGGACGCTTTTTTGCAGCGAGAAGGTCCGCCTACCTTCGACTATCCTTACTCTCGAGAGCTGTATTACATGCTCGAAGCTTTCCTGCCGGGAAGGAGTTGGATTGCCGCATCCCAGAAGTGGGTCTACATCAAGCAAACGCAGGAGTGGCATGAAATGGACCTCGGGATGCTGGCCAATATGGACCAGTTGAGGCGGCAGGTGCGCCAGGACCCCGTCGTTCAATCATCTGTTCAACCATCCGACGGTCAGGAGGCCAGAAGTGATTTCGCATGGCGTGCAGAGAATCCGTCGCGTTTGGCGGGGGCTGTCCTCGAGATCTGAGAACCCTTGATACCCATATCCGGTGCCTGTATGCGGCGGCCGCCGATTGAAGATGCCTCTCCTACGGGACTTTCTTCGACGCAATCACTGTCTTTGGCCGATCGTTGTCCAGCTTTGGCTTGGTGGCGGCGGCGGAGCCCTTGCTCGTGGTGTACCGTGTCTGCCTTGCCAATTCGCATCTGTTACCCATCTTGGCCTGGCGATCGCGAACCTCGCGTCTGGTGTCGTCTAAGTTACCGGGGGGAGCTGTCGACAAGCAAATTGACTCATGGATCATTTAACTATACCGTTTCCTTCCGCTTAAGCCATGGAGAGAAAGCCCCCAGAGGAGTAATCACCAAGATCGTCGGGGGTGGACGGACCCCTGTCATTCCCCGCATGGACAGCTTTGGGGCGCAGCTGGTGCGGACCGCTTGCCTGGCGGTTGATTGCGGGCCCTGAGCCCGGACGGGTATGAAAACAAACAATACCTAGTTATAAGAAGTTGCCTCACTACCTTCCATTCTCGACCGATCTCAAAACAACTGGCTCCTCCATGCCCCAACGACACACGGTGGATGGCTGAGATGCACGACCTTTATCGACATTATGGAGCCCGCAGCATTTGGGAAAAGTACGATGTCCCTAAGTGTCCCGTGGTCGAGGTAACGGAACTCTGGGTCGAGGAGGATGACAGGGAGTCCACCGCTGTCTTGGAGACGAAGACTGTCAACTCACTGGATGTGGACAGTTGGTTTGAGGAACCACCGCGCCGATATTTCCCGGGCGGCGCTTACACGCGAGCGGTTCGCCTTGTTTGGGTGGGCGAGGAGCGCAAGAATGGGCGCGCGAGCCCATCGACCGGCACACTAGAGAAGTTGTCGGAAGAATGGGGGCTGCAGGATGCTCTGGACTATGCTCGAGGTTGTTTTGCCGGAGTCTCAGCAGTCGAGCCAGACGACGACAAGCAGATTTTCACGGTCGCCTACCATCCCAAGCTCATCGGAGCTTGGCTTCACACGGAAGCCAATTCCCTTGACTCAACACCTCAAACACACGCCATTATTTTTGCCGAAGGCGAGGAAAGGGTCGAGCTTTTCCGTATCCTGGATTCGAAATGGGCGGCCTCCAGCGTGAAGCACCCGATGTTTCCCGCCCTGCTCTGCAGTCTGGTGCTTGCGCATGGACTCGATAGCACGCTTGAGGATATCAAAGCGGCCGTTAGGGAAGTGGAGGCGCGTACCGGACATCACCGCTTTGCGTCACGGCGCCAGACACAGCCGGCTGCTGGCGAACTCGGCAGTCTTTCGGCACAGATGAGCGGATGTGCCGCCAAGCTGGCTAACGGGACACGCAAGATGAAGGTTGTTGAGGCCGTCAACGACTTCATCTCCCAACACAATCGTCGGAGACCGCCGGATGCCCAAGAACAGGGAGCCAGTTCCCTCACCCACCCTAGAAATGGATTTTCGGCATCTCACCTTGGCCTCCTCCGGCACCGCGTCCAAATGCAGGCAGTCGATGCAGCCTACGTGCAGCAACGGGTGCAAATACAAATCGCTGCGCTATTCCACCTTATTGCCCAGCAGGACAACGCCATTGCTTTTGATACCGCCAGCGCAACACGGAGCATTGCCGCATCTAGCCAGCAGGACTCGTCGTCGATGAAGATGCTCGCCTTGGTTGCCATGTTCTTCCTCCCCGGGAGCTTTGTTGCCGCCTTGTTCTCTGCGCCTCTATTTGCTTGGGACGAAGCCTTAACGGCTGGGGGGATGGCTGTGGGCACACGGCCTCAGTTTGCGCTGTTTTGGGCGGTGACAGCGCCGTTGACTGCTCTCATTTTTGTTCTCTACGGTTTGTGGATGTGCGTACAAAGTAGAAAGGAGCGAAATAAAAACGGGAGCACGTTTGTCTAAGGGAGCGGAATAGAGAACAAGGGTTGGCAACCACAAACCTCACTTGAATGGTACAGCTCCATCTCATCCGGGCTAGTTTAGGCCAAACTAACGATTTCTTCGCCTGTTCCGGAAGTGCTCCATCGTTCGAGTTGTGCTTCGATATCACCTTGTTTGTGAGCCGAGTCTTGGCATCCATGGCGAGGTTACGTTGAGCAACGCAGGACGGCGTTTCTCATGGGGGAAGTCCGCCATGTGCGAGGATCCGGCTCGCCGGGTTGCAACGCTGCTCGTCTTGGCAGGAACACGAGCAATGCAGTTGGCGAGCAGAGCCGGCTTCTTCCGGTCTCCGGAACCGCGAACCGGCCTCTGCATTAGCTCCGCTGTGCGACCCGTTTCTGGAAACCTTGACCGGAGGCTCTTGGCGGAGGGCTGGCGATGGGTACGCGTATTTGAAGGCAGGATGGCCCCCTTCTGTCTTCGCCTTGGATTGCTCCCCCCCGAGTCGAAGTTAGCCGTAGCCGTCTTTCCCCTTGGCATACCCCCGTTGCTACTCTGCCCTTCCATCACCATGAGTTTGTCTTTGCGGCGATTGCTTTGCGCCGCCGGCCTTCTGCCTTTGTCCCTGGCACAAATCACAGTGCGGAGTGAGCCAGAGTCTGCGGCAGAGGCAACGGTGGATAGCTTGGACTTCTCAGACGCCGCAGGGGTTCAGCTAGCAACGTTGAAGGGCATCAATTTCGGTTGCAAGTGCTACCCGGGCGAGAGGTGCTGGCCGTCGGCAAACAAGTGGAATGCCCTCAACAACACTGTTGACGGTCGGTTGCTTGTTCATATCCCGCCAGGCGCCCCTTGCCACAACACCTTCAATGGGCTTCTGGGAATGGTGAGCACCTACGACGCGAACAAGTGTGCTGAGGTCACGCAAAACTTTGAGAACGAGTCGTGGACGTGAGTAATGCGTCCCCAACCATGTCGACTGAGAAGACGTTTGGATACGCTGACATGGGTACCTACGAACTTATTTCTAGCGTGAGCCAGCCTGCTGCCGCGCTCTGGACCTACTTCACGAACGACACTTGCCGACCGACGCAAAACCCTACCGATAGCTGTACGCTTGGTTACTATGGTGTGTATGTTATTATGGCGTCCACGCCGCGGCACGTCAAGGCCGGCATCGACTTTGCCCGCCGAAACAACCTCCGGCTAATTGTGCGCAACACCGGCCATGATTTTATCGGCCGGAGCACCGGTTATGGCTCGTTGATCATCAACACGAACAGTTTCCAGCAAATCGACTGGATCGACTCGTACAGTGGCCCAGGCGCCTACAAAGGCGGCGCTGTCACTATTGGGGCCGGTGTCCAGGGTGAAACCATCCTGTCCAAGGGCCATGCTCGGGACCCTCCACTTGTCGTTGTCACAGGTGAATGCCCCACCGTCGGTATTGCCGGTGGCTTCATCCAGGGTGGTGGCCACGGCCCGTGGACGACACTCAAGGGATTTTGTAAGTACCATACGCCCCCTTTTGCTAGGCGCACTGCTTATGCCTCATAGCGGCCGACAACGTGCTTGCGTTTGAGGCCATCACTGCCTCGGGCCACTACGTGACGGCGAATGAGCGCCAAAACGCGGATCTTTTCTGGGCTCTGAAGGGCGGTGGCCCGGCTTCGTTTGCCGTGATCCTCTCGGTCACCATGAAGACCTTCCCGGATATCCCGTCGGCTGGCGCCACGCTGTATATCAACTCGACCCACACTCTTGACTCGGATGTTTGGTGGAACGGAACCACGGCTTTCCACAAGTGGTCCAACCACTTTGTTGACAACGGGCTCTACGTTTACTTTGAGATTATGCCTTTGACGTTTCGCGCACGGCCGTTCGTCGGCATTGGAAAGAGCAAGGCCGAACTGCAAAGCATTGTCCAGCCTCTTCTGGATGAGCTGACGGCCAAGGGGTTGCCATTCGATTTTGACATCAAGGACTTCCCAACCTTTTACGACTTGTATGTCGACCTCTTTGAACCCGAGGCCGCAGGAGGCTCGGCGCTCACGGGTGGGTGGATGTTCAACCACGAGGACGTGGCAACCAACAACGACGGCATTATCGAGGCTTTCAAAACAGTCCTATCCCCCGGACCCGACCTGTTTGGCTTCATGATCGGCCATTTGTTTAACCCAGGCTATGGAGCCCCCAAGAGCAATAGCGCGACACACCCGTCGTGGCGAAACGCTACCAACTTCATCATTGCCGCCCTACCCGTGGCGGTTGGCTCATCGTTGGCCCAGAAGGCGGAGCTCCAGAACGTTTTAACGAATACCATTGATGAGGCTCTGCGGCAGGCGAGCACCAGTGGGTGCACCTATGTTAACGAGGTGAGCATTCTTTCATTGAAACCACGCACATGACCGGAATAGTAGTGCAGTACTGACATGAGCGTTTGTAGGCCGACCCCTACCAACGGGACTGGCAGAGCCACTTCTGGGGCGCCGAGTACCCAAAGCTCAAGGCTCTGCGATGGAAGTGGGATCCCCACGGGGTCTTTTACGCCGTGTCGACACCGGGAACCGAAGGTTGGGAGGTCATCGAGGACGGGACCAGGTTGTGTAGGAGGCTATAAAACATCCCTACGCTCCTACCTAGGTAGGTAGATATGACTTTAATGTGTAACGTTGGAAGGTAGATAAACCGACCAGCGTCGGATTCTTGCAGCTTGTTTTCCTAGCCTTCAAAACTATCATTTTTGATGATGTTATCGACGCCCCTTCATTATCAACGGTTTGCGGACAGGTTCCCCTAAAAGGCAGTTCCGGGGTCGATCGCAGCGCCTCCGCTCTCGGAACAGATCACCGCTGAAAGGCTGGCCCCACAACTCGGACCAACCTCGTTAAAAGGCCGAGGGTCGGGGCCTCTTGTCGCGGAGCTTTCCACCTTCCCAGTTTCAGGCCGATCAATGACGGCACAGTAGCGACCGAACCCGAATCCCGAACCACGCGACCTTAATATATCCGTACAGATTCGTACAGCGGTAATACTATATCATGCCTTTCGGGGTCCAGTGAACGGACGCCGCTTCTTGACGATCTTCAAAACAGACATACTGTTCCGGCTATCCCGAATGGCGGACAAGCGGCGCCAGCTGGAAAAGATGAACCCGAATCGTGGCTTCGGCGACTTGCCATCCCACTGCGCAACTACCTCAAGGTTGACGTCGAGAACCGAATTTTATTTGCTGGTTTCCTCATCACACTCTCCTTCAGTTTCACACAGGTCCCGTAAGCAATCCAGCGTCTCCGTGGAGTCACATCCATGATCCGATCCCGCGTCCGGGTCCATCGCCTTCGACTTTGCGAAAGCATGCAGACACTTGTCTCTAACAATGTTCGCCCGTAAACAAGAATCTTCTACGTGTTCCATCTGATGGAATGCGAAGTCTTTTACAAGCACCACCCTCCATACGAGGGTAGTGGCGACCGCTGCAGCCGCAATGAGATCGCCGCCGGAACCGCGACGCAGTTCTCCATCTTGGGAATGAGTACCACCTTTTGTGGTACTATCAACCTGTTTGTAGCCGGATGGATGGCTAAGCGGTTCGGCCCGCGGGCCGCGCTTATGGTGCAGACTTTGGTACCGGCTATCCGGGTGGCCACGCAGATTCTAGGCGTCCTGGCCGGCGGCGAGGCTGGTATCATCATCATCCAGTGTACACAGCTGATTACCATTATCGGAGGCCCGGTTGGGTACATGTGAGTGGAGTTTGCGCCGATGTCGCTTTACCGTTCGTTCGGCTTTCACGCCTAGCGTTCCACGACCTGCAGATTGTTGACTAGATGGCACGGAATAGCTTGGTCGCCAATATCATTGCCGGTGAGCTGGTTGCGCCCTTACGACGGACAGCCGTGTTCGGCATGCTTCAGGGCTGTATCATGTTGGGACAGGGGCTTGGGTATCTAGGTAAGCAAGATCCCCATCACTTTTCTCGTTCGGTATGCTGAAGTTGGTGCTAGCCGGCGGCATGATTGGTGACGTCTGGGGCATTAGCCGGCCATTTGAAGTCGCCTTTTATGCATTCTTACTATCATCCGTGTATGTGCGAGTTGCGGTTCCGTACATTGCCGCCGAATCATTGTCCAGCGGCTCGAAGACCAAGTCCAAGGGCTTCGCAGAGCTGCTTTCTCCATTGCGGGTCCTTGTTCCGCAAAAGGTCTTACTGGAGACGGGGGTGTCAATGAACCATTATGGCGTCCTCTTTCTATGTGCCGGAGTATTCCTGGGCGTTGTAAGATTCCAGTTCCATTCACCTGCAGCCCGTAAACCTCCCCCGTATGCTGATCTCGTTTTATAGCTAGCTACGGGATATGCACCATTGCTGATTCAGATGTATGCCACCGCTGTGTTCGAATTCCAACAGGCAGACAACGGCTGGCTCATGTCGGGGTTTGCCTTTATGCGCGCCGCATTCTTGATATTCCTTTTCCCTCGCATTATCAGCGGTGGCCGGAAGTGGTATATGGCCCGGGAACGAAAGAGAGATGGAGAAGGTCCTAAGCCTCGCCAGTCGTCCCGCCTAGCCACGAATCCAGAGGAACTCGAAGCCCCTGTAGGGAGCCTTGCCGAAGAAGAACCAGTCTCGTCCGGCGAAGCGGAGGATGGCGAAGGCACCGCTTTCGACCTTTTCTTTCTTCGTATAAGCTTGGTTGTCGACGGCGTGTTGACCATGTGCGCAGCCTTCGCCACCAAGAGCTGGCACATTTATCTCGGTATGCCCTGCTTAACAGCGCCTCGTGGTCTTGATCTTGTCAATCGTGCTAATAGGCCCAAGCTGCCTTTTTGCTCCCCTTCGCCTCGGGCTCAGCACCAGCAGCCAAGGGCGTCATGACCGAAATGTGTTCGGCTTCAACGAGAGCAGATGCCTTGAACGCTCTGACACTCGTCGAGAACATCGCCAGACTCGCAACTCAAGGCCTCTTCGGCTTCGTCTTTGCGGCCTTGGCACAAATTGGTAAACCACATCTGACCTTTTTTGCCAATGCGGTAAGCTCCCATTCCCCGTCAGGCTGTCGACAAGCATTGGGGACTCATAATACGGATGTAGGCAATTGCACTTCTTGCATCTGGCATTTTGTTGCTATCTCGCTTTCCTCCTGAGGGGAGCAGGCTCGCGGAGGCTAGTGATGCCCCGGAACACCAGGTTGAGATCGAGGAACCTGGACAAGACCAAGGTTCGCAGCACAGTTTCAGGGGATAATTACGCGCGTTACACAGCCGCAGTCACTTGAATGAACTTGCGAGAACAACTGAGGACTGCGGAGGTGCCCTGGTTTAGCACATTTAAAAGGGCTATGCCCCCATGGCAACTGTCAACCCAACGTTGAAGCTTGGGTCGGCACTTTGACGCCGACATATCTACACCTTAAAAACAACTTCTTTCACGATGGAGTGGGATACCATAACGCAACCATGGAAAAAGTATGGGCAATTGTCAAGTTGGGGACATTGACTTCTGCGCCTTGCAACGGGACTGGTGCGGCTATGTTACAGCAATGAGGTTACGTTTTTAATTAGTGGTGGGTACAAACACTGACCCCCGTTTGCATCTAAGTTTGGTTATCCGCCTCTAACCAAGGGTGTTCCGGTTATTGGGTGTGATTTTGACCAGTCCCACTACTGCCGACTGATACTCTTTTTACCTCATTTACACCTAATCGCATCGGCTAAAGTGGCACATGGTAGATACCTAGAATTCTTATATTGCCATTCGTTTATTCTGTGCCTGCTGGAAAAGAGCGCCTTATTTCTCCCGTTTGCGGGGTCAGAGCCAAGGCGACTCTACCGTGGCCGGATCCAGTTGGCTTGCTTGTAAGGAGGCCAACCCCCTTTCTCATGCCGTTCTCATTCTCCTGAACTTTCTTGAAAACCTCCCAGGACCTCGATTACCACTCATACCAAACAAATGATTATCCCAGCTTCCGGAAAAGGTCATTGGGCACCATTCACGATGAAGTCGTTGTCATCCATGCTTGCCGCAGCCCTTGAAGTGGGCGCCTTGTGGTGTCATGCTGTCAACGCAACTCCAACACGATTCCAGAGTACACAAACATCGGTGGCGGCCGAAGACGGGGCTCCGACATGTTCTGACGGCGCCACCATTGAGGGCCTATGGCTGGTCGAGAAGATGAACGTGACACACACGGAGGACCTGCTGGCGGAGCCTGGGAGCGCCTCCTGGACGGTCACCAACACACTGACGAACATGGCTGAGCGTCTCACTTGCTTCCTTGCGTGCCAACTACATTTGTGAAATTAATGGTACCCCGGAAGACGACCAGTTTTCATATATGGCTACAAATCAATTTGAATGTGGCATCATTCACATTTAATCAGACTCTTCCTTGCGGAAGCGAGACGGCTTCGGCGTATGCACCCCACAATCACCTCGATGTCTTGCAATTTTATCTGCTAATGACCACCGACTTCGTGTTAGAACTGCGTATGCCATCGGAATGGCAGAAGTGTATTTAACATGCGACGAGAAAAATCTCGCTTGTTCTGATCAAGATGATGCTGGCGGGTCTGCAAATGGGTTGGTAACGGTGGTGCCGCCTGGATCGCCATAAACTGTGCAATGGTAAATGGTGTTTGTGTACCTCGGTAGTATACAGAACTTGGGGCCGGAATTCGGGGACCGAAATTTGTCCATTGTTGTTGAAATATCTGGAAACATAACAGTCAGGACCCAGATAGGTACCTCTAGACACACTGGTACCTTACGTGTTTTCCTGCAAACTTCGGTCTTGTTGAGCAGCCGGGTCATTCACAGCCGCAACTGGTTGAGTGAGCAATAGTTCAATGTTTTTACATTTTACATACCTAGATATGCCTGTGCCTGGAGGAACTCCAGGTGCCTGGAGGAACGTGCGAGGAACGAGTACTTCCGAAAGGTTCCTTTGCCTGGAGGAACGTGCGAGGAACGAGTGCCTGGAGGAACGTGCGAGGAACGAGTGCCTGGAGGAACGTGCGAGGAACGAGTGCCTGGAGGAACGTGCGAGGAACGAGTGCCTGGAGGAACGTGCGAGGAACGAGTATACTTCCGAAAGGTTCCTTTTGCCTGGAGGAACGTGCGAGGAACGAGTGCCTGGAGGAACGTGCGAGGAACGAGTGCCTGGAGGAACGTGCGAGGAACGAGTACTTCCGAAAGGTTCCTTTTCCGAGAAAAACCATGGTATGCTCCAAGCACGGACCAGTTCCGGTCCCATAAAAAACCCATAAAAAATCCATAAAAAACCCACTAAAAAAGCCGTGCCATTTCTCCCTCTAAACTGTGAAGGTTTACTGTCATTATCCTGACGATTGTGGAAGCAGCCATGTTGCTTTGCCTGGAGGAACTTGCCTCTGACGATGAGCGTCTCGAAGTTGGGCTTGGCAGTGGTGGTGCACGGACGGTCTATTGGGGTCTGTCGGCTGTGGGGCTGGCCCCGGTTTATGAGAGCCAATGAGATGGCGCAGCCCTAGGCAGCTTCACCGACGACCACGAAAAAATGACAAATTGCAGGCCAACAAAGGGAGAACGAAAATCACAAATATCCAAAATATCAATTGGAAGTAGCTTTTTCCGCGAGACAATAGCTACCGGAACAGAGTAACGGCAGAGAAGTGTGCTACGATTCGCGCTCGGAAACCCCAGGGTCTCGCCAGAGCGCCGCGTCCTCTACGTCATCGGTTTCAGTCCCCTGGCCAGATTCAGGCATGGCATCCCATTCTTGAAACCACGACTCGTGCCTGTGGTCTTGCTCGAACCGTCGTCTGGTCTCCTCACCCCGTCGTTCCAGCTTGACGATGGCGGCCCTCATGTCTTTGTCGAGCACATTCTTGGGCTCGATAAAGTCGCCACGCCCCGGTTTCCGAAACAGATGCAGCCCGTCCCAGCTCTGCGCCCTCGACAGCTGCACGTACAGGCTCATGAAGCTGGGCCGCGTCGCCGTGCCACTCGAGTGGACGCCTTTGAGGTTGACGAGGACGTTGGGAGAACTGCTTGCCTTGGCTCTTCTGATCTGTCATAGCGAAGGCCGGGGTGCAAAGAGGCCCGGTTCTGTGGGTGACCCACCTGAAACCCGGCTTGCCCCTTCCATCTTGCCTTCTTTGCCCCGCATTTGGCTCGGGGATGGCGACCGTCTTGCTCTTGATTAAAATGGTGCCATTGGGGAGCCCGGGGATGGCGAGGCCCGCGCTGTCGTCTGACTGAAGGAGGACGGCCACCGGCGGTCCAAGATGAAGAGTCACATCGCTGGCGAGCGCGATGGTGCCGGCGGCGAGGTCGGGAAAGATGTCGACGGCCTTGAAAGGCGCCCCGTTAACCACCTTTAGCCCGACAAACTGGTTGCGAGTTACCACCACCGGCATCCCTTGAGCGTAGAAGAACAAGCCCGGGGTCGGCAGCTGGGAGTCGTCTCCGTAGCGAAGCACGCGGCACAGCTCTTCCACACTTAGTCGCTTCCCCGAATCGGTATCGTGCTTGGCCACAAAGATGGAGATGTGCTTGCCGTGGTCACGAGCCCACTGGACGACTTGGCCGCCATGTTCATGTCCCACCGGTCTTGGTTCAGATGGCGTGATGGCTCTCAAGCCATCTACGAAGGAGGATTCGCACGACGGTGTATAGACGCGCTGGCATAGCCGCTGGAAGTCTAGCTCGGTCTGCTCGCCATTGCGCAGGCGCCGAAGGAAACCCCGCAGCCTTGGACAGCCGGCCGCGCGGACCTGTTCACGGAGGATAACGACGTTCGTGAACTGGAGGAACAGCTTATGCGCTGCTAGGTGCTTTGCCGAGCTGTCCGGTCTCTGTCCACCGGGGTCCCTAGGCGTTGGCAAGAGGAGGCTGGTCTGCAGGACGGGGTCGAACTGGAAGAATTCACCAAAGAACATGACTATTGTGATCCCGCCGAACGGTCGATGGTGGTCGTCTCTGTACTGCCTTATGCGGCTGTCCACCGCCGCGAGTGTGAGACCGCCCACCTGTCTGATCTCGTCTATAACCAGCATGATCATGTTTTTCCACCTCAGCTTCTCTTCTTCCGAGATGTTCCTTGCTGTCGCTGCCCTGCCCTCAAACGCAATATTTGCCGCCGAGTGCAGCGTCACTCCGCCGATAAGCGCGGGCGCATTACCGCTGGCGCCCGTCAGGAGCAGCGTGTGGAGACCGTCCTTCAGCCGGAACATGTCCTTGATGGCGTGTATGACGCGAGACTTGCCGGTGCCGCCCTCGCCGCCGATGTATTGGAAATGCTGCCGACCCCCTTATTCCTGCAGCCGTGTGCCGCGCTCGTCAAGAAACGCCGCCGGTAGCAAGACTGCCATCGACTGGAGCTTATTCAAAGTCCAGTGCCTTGTGAGCCCCAGGGCCACATCGACGTATGTTGCATAACGTCCGAGCTCGAGCCGCATCTGTCCGCCCGGGCCGACCCCTTCTGGAGATCTTTCGCATCCGTGAACGGGCAACCGTGGGCTCCCGTGTGGCTCGCCGGCATGCGCAGAAGACGGATTCGTTTGCCTGCCCTGGATCTTCGCCGTGACGCTGCTGTCCTCTTTCTTCTGGACCTTCAATACCGCGTCGATCTCCTCGCGGCTGGGCAGTCCCATGCCGCGGAACGGCGAGTCTTGGAGGTCCTGTAGCATGGTATAGAAATGGCGACCACGCTGGGCAGCATTGCTGTCGTCCTGGCTTGGGTCAACTGCCCTCGCCTCTTCGTCCAAGCGCCTCAGCGCCGAAGTCGCTGTCATATCTTTGATCTCGCTACCTCGAACCGCTGAAAGGGCATCCAAGAAGGCTTCGTAGTGGGCCTGTGGATCGATGCCCCCACCATCCAGTCCGACGCCGTCATCGTCCCCCTCCCGGTCCTCAAGTCAAACCCGTCGACGACGTCTTCGTTTTCCTGTTCTAGCCCTTGCATCTTTCGGTCAGCACGGGCATCGTCCGCCGAGACGCGTAGCAGAGCGATATTCTGGACGTGTGAGCGGATTCGGGCGCCCAGCTGCCCCTCGAGCGATCGCCAAAGTCCTGGTACATCGTCCGCTGGCTCAGCCTGAAACCTTTCCCATGGAACGAAGAGGGCGAGGTGCAGGACTGCGTTTCTGTATGTGACTTGTAAACCCTTTTCTTCTACGCCAAGAGGATCCTGATACCTACCTCTACAAATTTCTCGTCCTGCTCAAACTTACCTTCCAAGGCGTAGGCGTTAATAGATAGGAGACAGACGAAACCCAGTCCGTACAGGTGGCGCTGACACTGCCCCGTGATGGCGGCTTGACTCCGTACGCCCCCATTATTTTGCACTGGAGCAGGACCTGGCTGCTAACACTTCCAAGTGTCATCCCCCGCCAGCTCGGTGGTCCCGACCAGACAGCTCCTTGGCCAAGCACTTCAGCACATGTGTCCTTTGCCGGCCCCCGTCGAAGCTAGATACCTTCCCATATCAAGCAAGGAGTCTGGCCGGAGCCGCTGGGTCAAGACTTTGAGTGTTCGCCAAACTCGGGTCTTACTTGCAGCCAGAGAACGACCGCCCTCCTCGCGAGGGCATACACATATGCCACGTCCTCGTTCTCTTCCCCGTCGACCAGCAACCCTGGAAGTCTCTGGCCGGGTGGATGCGGACCGCCGCAAACCCCTTTCCTAAGGGGTCGTGGATCACGTGCCAGTGGCCGACTCCTGGGGGTCCTAGACCGCGACTGATCCAAGGCTCTCGGAAAAGTCGATCCTACTGTTCGAATTCTGGTGATTCTCGCCGACAATTGGGAACTCATTCGGCAGAATTCCCCGTCAACCAACAATACACCCACGCCGAAATCATCGGACCCTGTCGGCAACTTGCCAACGACACCACGATCGGCTGGCCCCGGAGCAGTCGCAAGCAGAAACCCGTTCTCTTCACTAGGCCGTGCTCAAAATCCCACTTCCTCGCCTCAGAATCCATCTTCCTCGCCGGGTTGCCCCAGAAACCGCCGAACGCGAAGCCACCGAACCACCATTCAGCCCTGGAGCACAGCTAGACTCGATCACGGCCGATCCCGATCAGATGCCCACAGGTCCATCTTCAGGTATGTATCGCCGCCTTCCAGACCCACGGCTCACCTAACCGTTGATCTAGATGGCGATGACTCGAACGATGGTTCGGACACAGAGGAACTATTGGGACGCTCAACTCGTCTCGAGCAGCAGTACCCCGACAAAGAAAAGAAAGGAACCAAGCTCTCCGGAACCGGCCAGAAGCAAGAGATCCACAGCGGGAAGAAAGAAGGCGCGGCTGTATGACTAGCTTTTGAGGTTGACCAAAGAACTGCTTTTGCTTGCTTTCCCAACATTCGTCAACCGTCCTAAAACTGATCGACCAACCATATTCTGATGCCGCTATGGGTTACCTGCGCCGGCCCGTTCCTCCAGGCTTCCTTTGGCGTGCCCGCGCGCAGCGGGCACGGTCACTCCTGTACTTCCAGAAAGGTTCCTTTGCCTGGAGGAACGTGCGAGGAACGAGTACTTCCGAAAGGTTCCTTTTCCGAGAAAAACCATGGTATGCTCCAAGCACGGACCAGTTCCGTCCCATAAAAAACCCATAAAAAATCCATAAAAAACCCACTAAAAAAGCCGTGCCATTTCTCCCTCTAAACTGTGAAGGTTTACTGTCATTATTCTAACGATTGTGGAAGGAGAGTCATCTTGTTTTGCCCGGAGGAAACCTTGCCTCTGACGATGAGCGTCTCGAAGTTGGGCTTGGCAGTGATGGTGCACGGACGGTCTGTTGGGGTCTGTCGGCTGTGGGGCTGGCCCCGCTTTATAAGAGCCAATGAGATGGCGCAGCCCCAGGCAGCTTCAGCGACGACCACGAAAAAGATGCAGATTGCAGGGCAACACGGCAACAAGTTGAGAAGGAAAATATTAATTGAAGCCGATTATTCCGCTGGAAAAGAGCTCCAAAACAGAGCAACGGTGGAGAGCTGTGCTACGATCTGGGCTCGGAAACCCCAGGGTCTCGCCAGAGCGCCGCGTCCTCTACGTCATCGGTTTCAGTCCCCTGGCCAGATTCAGGCATGGCCTCCCATTCTTGAAACCACGACTCGTGCCTGTGGTCTTGCTCGAACCGCCGTCTGGTCTCCTCACCCCGTTGTTCCAGCTTGAGGATGGCCTCCCTCATGTCTTTGTCAAGCACATTCTTGGGCTCGATGAAGTCGCCGCGCCCCGGTTTCCGAAACAAATGCAGCCCGTTCCAGCTCTGCGCCCTCGACAGCTGCACGTACAGGCTCATGAAGCTGGGCCGCGTCGCCGTACCGCTGGAGTGGACGCCTTTGAGATTGACGAGGACGTTGGAGAACTGCTTGCCTTGGCTCTTCTGATCTGTCATAGCGAAGGCCGGTGTGCAAAGAGGCCCCGTTCGGTGGGTGACCCACCTGAAACCCGGCTTGCCCCTCCATCTGCCTTCCTTGCCCCGCATTTGGCTCGGGATGGCGACCGTCTTGCTCTTGATCAAGATTGTGCCGTTCGGGAGCCCGGGAATGGCCAGACCGGCGGTTATCCTTTGACTCGAAGGGAGGACGGCCACGGGTGGCGCCGAGATGGAGAGTCACGTCGTTGGCGAGCGCGATGGTGCCGGCTGCGAGGTCGGGGAAGATGTCGACGGCCTTGAAAGGTGCCCCGTTGACGACCTTTAGCCCGACAAACTGGTTCCGAGTCACCACTACCGGCATCCCTTGGGCGTAGAAGAACAGGCCGGGGGTCGGCAGCTGCGAGTCGTCTCCGTAGCGGAGCACGTGGCATAGGTCCCCCGCATTCAGTCGTTTCCCCGACTCAGTATCGTGCTTGGCCACAAAGATGGAGATGTGCTTGCTGTGGGCACGAGCCCACTGGACGACGGCCGCCATGTTGAGGTCCCACCGGTCTTGGTTCAGAGGTGTGATGGCTCTCAGGCCATCTACGAAGGAGTACTTGCACGACGGTGTATAGAGGCGTTGGCTCAGCCGCTGGAAGTCCAGCTCTGTCTGCTCCCCACTGCGCAGGCGCCGAAGGAAACCCCGCAGCCTTGGACAGCCGGCCGCGCGGACCTGTTCGCGGAGGATGACGACGTTCGTGAACTGGAGGAACAGCTTATGCGCTGCTAGGTGCTTTGCCGAGCTGTCCGGTCTCTGTCCACCGGGGTCCCTAGGCGTTGGCAAGAGGAGGCTGGTCTGCAGGACGGGGTCGAACTGGAAGAAGTCACCAAAGAACATGACCATTGGGATCCCGCCGAACGGTCGATGGTGGTCGTCTCTGTACTGCTTCAGGCGGCTGTCCACCGCCGCGAGCGTGAGACCGCCCACCTGGCTGATCTCGTCGATAACCAGCATGATCATGTTTTTCCAGTCGAGGAACGCCGCTGGTAGCAAGACTGCCATCGACTGGAGCTTGTTCAGAGTCCAGTGCCTTGTGAGGCCCAAGGCCACATCGACGTATGTTGCATAACGTCCGAGCTCGAGCCACATCCGTCCGCCCGGACCGACCCCTTCTGGCGATATTTCGCCTCTGTGGACGGGCCACCGTGGGCTTCCGTGGGGCTCGCCGGCATGCGCAGAAGACGGATTCGATTGCTTGCCCTGGATCTTCGCCGTCACGCTGCTGTCATCTTTCTTCTGGACCTTCAATACCGCGTCGATCTCCTCGCGGCTGGGCAATCCCATGCCGCGGAAAGGCGAATCTTGGAGATCCTGCAGCATGGTATAGAAGTGGCGACCACGCAGGGCCTTTCTCTCCCCGAATGCCATCCCTCTCACAATACCCGTGAATTACCATCACACTACCCGTGAATCCATTGCTGCCGACATGTCTGCTCCTCATCCCACTGTCGTTCACCCGATACCCCCCGTGCCAAGTAAGCGACATCAAGACATTACCGGTACAGACCTCATCGTCACCTACCACTCGGACTTGGGCCAATGCGAGATCCTGCCAATCGGCTCCCGCTACACAAGCGCGGGAAACTTCAAGACCGGGACCTTCCTACCATTCATCCAACCCGCTTTTATTGAAGAGCTCTACCCGCGCCTCCTGAGTACCGAAGACAAAGACGGCTCGGGACTTCCGGTGATACTCTCCATGTTCAACACCGAAGCGAAAATAGCAACCCTGGAAGAAGATTGGGAAGGGAAATGGGTTCAGCATCGTCGCCCGACTTTTTCCCAAACAAACTCACATTTCCAAGGCGTAGGATTCAGCGGGTGGGAGACAGACGAATCGCAGTCTGTACAGGTGGCACTGGCACTGCCGCGCGATGACGGCTTAACTCCGTACGCGCTATTACTTTGCACTGAAGCAGAACCTGGCTGCTAACACTTCCAATTGTCATCCCCCGCCAGCTCGGTGGTCCTGACGAGACAGCTCTCTGGCCAACCACTTCGGCACATGTGTCCTTTGCCGGCCCCGTCGAGCTAGATACCTTCCATATCAAGCAAGGAGTCTGGGCCGAGCCGCTGGTCAAGACTTCGGTGTTCGCCAAATTCGGGTC